TGCCTAATTGAATCACAAATATGTGAGCACTAAAAGTTTATATACATACTGTCTATTTTTGTCTGTTTTTTATTATGATGTAAATATATAACTGAGTATTTGAATGTTAATTGTACTTGTATTTTAATAAAATGACTTTTACATTAATTTATGAACTTTTAGGGAGCCTATTATCATCTGGCATGGGGACTGCTGATGAAAACTAGCCTTTTTGACTAATTCTGTTACATTTACATTACTGTAATGTTTATTAATGTGCACTGTCTCACTGGAAAAAAAAACAACAAAAAACTAAATAAATAAACATGCATACTTACTTACATATATAATTACTTTTTTGCCAAAGTTAGAATCATGGTAAAATGACAAACAGAAGCACCAGATGGCTATAGATTATCCAAAAGCATTGAGAAGAGGGCAGCCAAAAGAACAATGCAGCATTTAAATAAATTCTCCAGAGGGCATTTAAAGCAGCGGTCTAAAATTTCAGTTGCTTCCCAACACTGGTATAGGTATCAGTGTTCAGAACATGATGGAGAGGGCACTGCATTGTGAAAAAGGCCCACCATCTGGCCTCATAAAAACACTGGAGCACACAGAGCCACTGTTCTTCTGCTCACTCAATAGGCCTGTCACCAGCCACTGTCAGAGACTTCCAACAACCATTTCAGTCACTTTCTCAATAAAATATGACACGATTTGTTTTATATGGCTGAAATATTCTATGTACAATGTTCTTCTATATTGTCCCTATTAATGTTGTATAGTTGCTGTTGTTTGTGAAATCAATCTTTTTTATCCATCTTCATAGAAAAGATTATCTTGACATTTTAATATTATGCTATTTGATTATAAGACATTTTTGTTGCTGTACCATTATCTAAAAGGATTGTAAAACATTACTTTTGTTTTAATCAAACTGACCAGTTTGTTTGTTTCTATTGCCATTGAGTTTGACTATTGTACCTCTGGATTAAACAAAAATGGCTTTCATCCCCAATAAAACTGCTCCCAACTCATTCTGAGAGGTTTTATATAGTAGGAATAAAGATTCAGCATGTTAAAGTACATTCTGCACATATTGTGAGTGGACTATTCGGCCAAGTCCTTGGACTCTGTGTTTATGAAAGTACTGAGGTCCTTGATCTGATTTGAGGAGCATAATACAGAAGCATACTGCATTTACTCCGCTGTCCAAATGTTTACTAACATGCTCCATCTTCATGAGAGTGCTCATTAAAAGAACCATTAGCAAAGTGATGCCTTTGATTTCCTCCCCTCTGGAGACAGTCACAGATCAGATTTCACATAGGCCCTGTTTAGCATCAGATAGCCTGTCTCTTGTGCTTACCAAGCTTATCAAGAAAAGCCTTTGTAAATGGTAAAGTAACATTGCCTTTCTTGACTATGGTTCATACCCACACACTCTTTACATTCTTTAAGCTGCTCTTGTCATAGTGCATGATGTACAGAGCTGCATTCTCAACCACATTCTCCTTAAAGTGCTCTTCACTTTGATTCCCATCCTACTTTCAGCACTGCTGACATGACTGCCTTTGTTTTGCCTTTTGGACTTTGCCACATCCTGATTTTTACACTGTCTCAGTTTTTGGTGGACACCTCTAGAGTGAAATAAGGAAACTTTATCAATACTTCTTCAGTACAATAATCACATATGCTATTGAACATATGAATTAATGTGAGTTGGGCCTTTTTCCACTGTGTTTTTATCATCATCCTACATGAGTAACAGACCCAATAATAACATGAGAGAAAGACCCATATCTGTGCTATTTCTACCTGGTATTCATTTTTTGAGACATATTACACTATTTTTAGATATTTAGAATTAATCAGCAAAAAATAGATTATCTTTTACATTTTGTTCATTTTAAAGCATATTATTGATCTAAATGGGCTTCAAACAAGTTTAATGTTCCAACAAAAGCTTATAAAAATCCATTTGACCTATGTCATACACTAGGTCTTCTACATTCTAGGAAAGAAGGGTATCCAGGTATACCTTTCAGGTGTTAGCTACCTATTTCATATTAATGTGTGTTTGACCAGGTCATATTACATGTGACCAGTGTTTAAAAAACAGCCACACCCCCTCTACTGTTAAACATTACCCAGAGTTTATCTTCTTTTGACCAGGAATCAGAATGCATGAAATGAAATACAATTCAAATCTGGACATTTCTGCATTTTACCTGTCAGATCATAGAGCTTGTAATAGGAGAGGGAACATGCCCCAACTGTGCACCAAGCTGATTATTGCACAAGCCTGTAATCTGGGAACATCTGCAGCGTGACCTGCAGCTCTGTGGCAGCGTCTTCCCCAGTGGAGATGGGCCATGTTGCTGCTAATACTGAAGCAGCATGGTCTACTTTCACCCCAAAGAGGGCTGCACTTCATTTGGTCTAGGTCAGGGGAACTCTTTCAAGTAAGGACTAGGGTTACCTTTGTCATACTCATAATTTTAACAAAAGTCTTCAATGTGGCAAAATATTGGAGGAAACAATCGTCTCCCATAACTTTTACTGTATTTATGAGTTACAGTGTCCTTTTGGGATATTTTGGATACTTTAGTCATTGAAAAGATAAGATAAGATTTTGGTAAACTGGTTAGTTTATTTTTCCTTGTATCTGTTTTTACTGTAGCATTTTTTAACAGAATGGTGCTAGATTACATATCACTCTGAAATCCATGGATATCTGCTTTTCTTACAGCTAGTATATGCTGATACATAATGTCATACATTCATTGTCCTATAGAGTTTAATTTGACACACATCACTTTTAGATGCGTGTTCCTGTAACTGCCCGTGCTGTGCCCTGTTGGCAGATGTACTGGAGCTCAATTATACAGTGGAGTAAGTGCATTACCCACTAATCAGAGCCTGGCTGTACTTGTTCGTGCATGACCTTCCCCCATTGAGATGCCAGTGTAAGTGCAAGGAGAAAATAAGCTCTCATTTTACACTCCCACTCAATGTTCTTATGCTTTGTGTGTTTGTGTGAACATTAGGTAGTAATTACCATTTCATTCTGCAGACTCTATGAATGCACGAACAGGTTCAGTGCAGTATATATGAGGATCTGTGCTGTGCACACAGAGAAAAACACACCACCTTCAGTGATAACAATATAAAATAATACTATTATAACCAACATGTGGTATATAGAGTATCATAAGAACAAAAACAATTGTTAACCACGTCTGAAACTGGACTAAATCTACACAAGCATTACACAGGATTTTTTCCTTCATGCTGACCCATATATTTATTTTTATATTTTGACTTTTGGTAAAGTAGTTGTGCAACATGTAAGGGGATGTTGTAATACATGTAAGGATCATTTTTCAGATTGCTAACCTATTGGTGACCCTTGGCAAAAATCTCTTGCTACAGTGTCTTTTGGTTGTACTGTTTATGGGACAGCCTCAATCCTCCACTTAAACTAATCCAGTGGCTGCAGTGCCATGCCGTGGCTGCAGTTTCTGTGAATTAAAGCAGATTTCAGTGTTCTACAAACCACGGATGACACATTCCGTCTGTGCAGGACTGTTGCGAAAGTGTAGCCAGCTGTGGTCTGTGCGTGCAGGGAATATGTTCCCAAAGCTCCTTTGGCCTTTCCCACTGTTGCTCTGCAGTTAAGATTATTTTGGCTCATCTCCTATTAAATTATCTGCACAAAATGTAAGATAATATTCAAGAATAACTTCCTGATATATTGCAAAGGTTTTTTGAAGATTGCGATAATCAGTAGCTGTCACGATTTTTTTTCCAGAACACTGAAAAAAATATATAGAGATTAGAGATTAGATTATTTAGGTGAAGTCACACCCAGAAGACAGGATGCTTAAGGAGTGTCTCTGTTGGTCACATGACCCAAGACTTCACACCATAGAGCAGACCATTGCCTCTAAAGCTTAAAATACTGTAACTTTAACCCCAGTTCCAACAGTTTTAATAGTTTTCCTCTAGTTTCTACAAGTACACTCACCAATGTCTTTTTCTTAGTATTTATCAATTACTGTGCACTGGCCAGATTAAAACAACCAGGACACACACTGCACACACAAAAACAATCTGTGTACACATTGCATCACATGTGACTTATTTAGAGAAGTCCTTCAGTGAAATATGTTTGAACAGTAAATATGTCACTACAGGGCTGGTTTGTTGTGGCACTTTGGAATATGACAGTTTGAACTGTTGCATAAGTGTCTGCCAGTGTTTGAGGGGTTGATCCATTTGTATCTGGAGCATGACAAAAAAATAAAAATAAAATAATAATAATAATAATAATAATAATAATAATAGCTTCAAAAACTAGGAACAAGAAAAGATACAAGATACAACAATGCTTTATCATTCATGAGTTGGAGCTTCCTCGTGTGCTGGCTGCTCCCCAGTGCGCTGGGTGGACGCAGGGGCTGAGCGCTAGAGCTCGGCTTAGAGCCATTAGTTGCAACATGAGATATGAGAGCTAGGCTGGAGCTTGGCTTTCCACCAAGTCACAGAATGTACTTGAACAAATTCCAGCAGTAGAAGTTAACACGGGCCATGCTGGATTTATCAATGTGCATCTCAGGTTGTATGTGTCCAAACAAACCATAATATAACGTATGGACAGGCCGCACCCTCCATCTGCGCTTTATTTTTGTAAATAGACAACGTTTCTATTGAAGTATAACTTACTTAGACCACTGACCCTTACACAAGATTAATAAAACTTATTTCTGACATTTAAACTCATGGTTAATCAAGACTGTGGGTCAACACTGAATATAAACGATAGTTTGATACATTTTTGTTTAAGGCTTGAATGGCCTATTTAAAAGGCTGTAAAAGAGCGCCCCCTGTTGGTGCCAGTCCAGTCTTGCTGATCTAATTCTAAAAAGATCAAGGCTTTTTGTACAAATGAGAATAAAAGACATTTAGGAAAAAAGTCTACATAGGTGCTGAGAACAATGAAAAACAAAGAAAAGCTGGGTTACCATCCTTTTATTTTTTATGTAACATTATAAGTATAAATAAATCTTTTTTTAATATAGAACATTTATGACATCCAAATAGCTTGAGCAAAATACAAGACCCAAACGGCTTTTATTGCACTTAATCTAAAAGACACACAATAGCCAAGTTCATACCAGAAAAAGGAAAAAAAAAAAAACAACAACTAAGAAACAAGCAGACACAAGAACCTGACATCAAAGACATTGCAAGTCTCACACTAAAACCACATCATTGGAGACATAGAACATAAATTTGGCAAATCGACAATGTACAAAATATACATCAATGATTCTTTTGTAAACAAACATTGAATGTGCTATTAGCATTATTTCAGTCTTCACAGGATACAAAGAGTGGTTATTGTTGACTAATTTAGTAACTCCTATGCATCCAGGACGATAGAAGATAAAATCTTGTCAAATATTAAGGTGCATGTGTTGTCTCACATATTTATGGGAGAAAACATATTCTTTACACTAAGATTCAATTTGTTTCTGTGTTATTTAGAAACCCATGAAGGTAAACTAGTCCATAAATGAATGCATTTTACTACTTAAATTGAAACAACTTATTGCACAATACTGTCCATTTATTGAAAGTCTGATTCTCTGCGTCAGTTTAGGCTGTTTAAAAAATACTTAAAGCGCATGTTTGTGTTATAATAAATCTGCAGGGTGTTATGGTAGTAGTAATATAGTAGCAGTATCTCCAATCTATTCAGCACTATAGAAGGATTGACCTGGCATTAGAATATAGATACTGGTGATATGTGGCACAGGTTAGTGACCCTTTTTCCAGCAGTTGTCCTTAACTGAAATGTTTGGACACGCCTGCCTAATGAGGTGAAATTTTATTGTCAAGTGTTTGCAATAAGCTACCACATGACTTGAATAAAGACTAAAGCCTGACTCCAAAGTCCTTCAAAACTCTTACAATGTACCACTGTTCATAACCATGGCTTTAAGACTGACCAAAGGACACAGCTAACAGGCTTATTAGCCAGGACTGCATTTTAGTGGCTTACATCATTCAAACTATTGACATTCTTCATGGTCCTCATTCTTTCAAATTCAATATTTCAAGATAAAATGCTACATTTCAGAAAACACAGTTAGCTTCACTCATCTTTGTCTCAATTCAAGTTTAACAAGTTTAAACTCAACAAAAAGGATGTATGTGACAAGATACATCATTTTAGCTTACTCTAAACTGAACTGAGTTTTCAAGCACAATGAGTAATACTGAGCATAGTAACATGACACTACAAAACTATACATATAATATAACTAGTATGCCCACATATCCCATTTTTACAGTGTTTTCATATTTACATGATATTGCATAAAAATATGTACGCAGGAATGTGTTTTACACAAGAGCGGGCTAACAGAAATCTACTTTCCAGATTTTCATAAGGCTTTTCTATGGTTTTTGATGAGTAGAACCCAAGTGAAGGATTTGTGCATACCACAGCAAGACCCCAATATAACTAATGTAAGCAACAATGTCATCACTGCTTAATCATGTTATCTACTACTGCATTTGCACTTGCAGCACCAGGTCTTCTTCAGTCTAAAGAGTGCAATTTAAATTAGTATGGCACAAAAATACAGTACAACCCAACTCTGATAAGGCTGCCTCTCCCCTTGACCCTGCCAATGATTGCACAAAGCATTTTGCATTTAGCAAAACCTAATATTCACGCATTCTATTTAGTAAAATACAACAAAGATACAAAAGAGTTTGCAAATGGTAGCTTACATTCAGACATCCTCTTTACATCTGTATGCATCTACAGTCACGCTCATCCTTCCTGAATCAGCACAATATCGTAACAGCTTTCTCGGTCCTCAAACAAAAAAGGCATGATGATATTGCAACTGGTAACATTTTGAAAATCTACTTATTTTTTGTTGCTCGAACTACGTGGTGACTCCTTCTGTTTATTTCTGCTACTGTCCTTTTCAGACGCATCTTTTGCAGAGACAGGAGCCGTTTTAGGTGCCTCTCTTCTAGTGTTTTTTGGGACATTTGGTGATACCTCTTGAGTGGATTCTCTCTTCTTTCTGTCTCCCTGCTCCTTCTTGACAGATGTAGTCTGTTGAGGAAGACTGGTGCCTCTAGTGTCTTGTGCGTCAGTCGCCTTGAGAAGCTCTGGTTTGGGCCCTTCCGACTCAGGGGCTTCCTTTAAAGATTTGAGTTCAGATTCCTGGGTTGGAGAGCACACATTCTTGCCAGTGTTATGTAGATTCATGTCCTTTCTATGGGCTGGTTTCGGCAGCAGTGGTGGAGGATCTGATACATTCTCAGGTGAACTCAATGATTTGGCATCAGAGTCTTTATGAGCTGAGACTCTGATTTTGCGCAATGCGTCTATGGGTTTGGCATCAAGAGTTTGTTGAGACAGAGTAGTTTGAGTCTTAATGGTAGAAGGAAAGGTAGAAGTTTTTGTGGGGATACATTTTGGCTTTGTGTCAGCTTGGTCTTTCACAGTAAGGGTTGCTACAGAACCTACGGCCTGAGTTTCTTTCAGCTTCCCTTCATTTTGGGGTGGACAATGTATGAGTCGCACCATGGGCTCTGCTTTTACGTCTGCACTGACCCGGGGAGAATCTTTGAGCTTGGACTCGTGGCTTACATGAGGCATTAGGGGGCTTGCTTCTTTTAACACAGGTTTGTGTTTGACGTTAGGAGCAACTTTGGCTCCAGTGGCAGGATGAATTGTGCTCTGAGTTCCCAGGACTTTAACACCAGTATGCACAGTACGCTGGGTACTTTGTACTGCATGTCCTGATGGTGGGCTTTTCTGCTTGGTTGTAAGGGTTCCAGTGCAATGAGTGCGATTAATGACTTCTTGTTTATTCAAATTGCAGTCCGATACATTGGGATATATTGTGTACTTTCACATCAGAACATACATGTTTAGTTTCAGTTAATGTTTTCTTTGGTGATACAGATGCCGCAGTGGTTTGTACACACATTTCACTGGGTTTTATTGCACCAGTGGACACACTGGCATCTTTATCATTTACAGTGAGTGGAGCTGCTGTCAAGTTTTCTTTAACATTAATGTCATTCTTATTAAGAGGCCTGATGGTCTCTATGCAGTCATTGAGTCAGTTGTTGTAGTGGTAAGAGAAGGTGACTCTTTCCTTAAGGAACAATGCAAGGGCTCTTTAGATGGCGGTTGTGAATCCCCAGAAACTGGATTCTGTAAATTACCTACAACCTTCTTAGAGGCAGAGATTGTATTTGACATTTGTGCAGTTTCTGTATATTCATTGTTTAAGGCAGAGTTTATGTTCTGTGTGACCAATAATAGTCCTGTGGTGCTTGCAGCTGGAGTTTGCTCTAATAAAGGTGCCTGGGTAGTTATTATGTCTGCCTCAGGTCTGGCTCCAGTCAAAAGGTTGCCTGTGTTGGAGCTGTCAGAGTTGTGTGATGAAGTGTGTGGTGTGACTTCCTGTTCCTCCACTTCATCCTCCTGGTCCTCGTTGCTGACTTCCCTTATTGAAGGTGTTTTTCCATATGAAGAAAAATGGGAGCTGTGTCGAGCCCCTCTCAGGTCATGAGTCAGGGAGGAAGAGCCCTTCAGTGCAGTCCTGCTCTCCTGTTTTACAGTAAAAGCAAAAGGTTCTGCTTTACTGGTGGGACTCTTTAAACATTCACTGAGCGTTTTCTCGCTCCTCACTTCTGTGACAGACTCTGGGCATGCTGTCATATTAAGGGTTTCTGGTTTGGGGGAACTTGTAGTGGGGCTTTTTGGTTTGTCTGTAGATTTTAGGTGGGGAATTGTAATTTGTCTCTCACTAAAGCTCTGTAGTCGAGTTGGAGAACTTACTGGCTCACTGACTTTTTCTATCATCTTTGCCAAGCAGGTCTCTGTCTTTGAGATTCTTGGCCCAGACAGCAGACCTATATCCAATGTCCCCTCTAAAGGTTTAAGAGAAGAAACATGACGACCTTCTAGTTTATATTCAGAGGAGGTTTTACGAAGAGGAGACTCTAAGGAGGAAATAAGATGAAGTTTCTCCACAGCACTCTCTGGTCTGCCAGAGAAATATTTGGGGGCCAGACCTTCAGGGCTTGAGTGAATACTTCCTATTCCTGCCTTCATTTGATCATGACTTAAAACTGTGTCCAGCTGAAGACTTTTAGATCTTGTAGACCCAAAATGATGATTTTCAAGAATAGTTGAGGACAAACGACGTACACAGTCCTCACGTTCTTCAAATGAAAGCCTCTTTCGGGTCAGCTCAATGTTAGGAGCTTTGAAGTCCAGTCTATCTGGCTTAATAAGATCTTTACTCAGTCTTGAGTGTGGCCTATCTGAGTGGGATCTGGGGCTACTGTCTCCATCACTACTGGCACCAGGCTCAACACTGGTATCTGAAACATGTGTGTTCCACTTTTTAAGTGCAAAACCAGGATGGGTCTCAGAGGTTTGAAATTCATCCCTGTCTTCACCAAAGAAAGAAACCAAATCTGATTCATAAAGGGCATCTTGCTTTTGTAAAGACTCCCTCCTTTCTGACCAGTCCAACCTCTTAACAACAAGTTTTGACTTCAGCTTTTCTTTGTCAAGTTCTTCAAGGGATTCCTGACGTCCCATCTTTCGAGAAACTGGCCTTTTTAAGCACCCCTGTTCAACGGGTCGAATGCGGGGGACAGACACAGGTTCACATGTCTCATCCACATTGTGTTGATCACTGCCTAGTTCTTCCCCTTGCTCCTCCTCCTGCGTCACTTCCAGGCTGTGTTTTCTGGGACACAGGTGCTTCTTGTCTCCAGAGTAAGAGGGAGACAACTTCTCTTCAGACTGCACTCGCTTTAAGAGGGGTGAGCGAGGAGGCTCAGCACTTTTGGGGCGCACAATATGGCGGACAATAGTGGGAGGAGAGTGGATCTTGGCTGGGAAGGTTTGGGGTGTCTTTGAGATTGTGACTGAATGCCCGCTTAGTAGAGGAGAAGGAGAGCGCTGTGGAGAAGTTGGCTGTGGTGTTGGAGAAGGTGTGCGGGCCAAAGGAGAAAGGGGGATGCTACCAGCGGATTTTCGGCGACCCTGGCGAAGTCGTGGTCCTAGGCCAAGGCCATGCAACGTACTCGGACGGATGTTTCCAGAACCTGCAGGCGAGTTAGGAGCACTGGAACTTGGAGAACTGCTTTGAGAGGAGTTCCCTCCTAAATAAAACAAAAACAAAATCAGTAACATTGTAGAGGTATGTATCAACAAACTACAATATGGGGAAATGTGCACCTGACTGGGTGAAGTCTGGTGCAGGTCGTAAGGAGGCAGTAGGAGAGTGAGGGGATAGACTGTGGGTCGGGGATCCAGGGAGGCTCTCACCAGATGAGAGAGAGTGGTTCAGAGATGATGAAAAACTGCGGCTTGTGTGCAGCAGAGGAGAGGGCTGCATGGCAAAACGCCTGAAGAGGGAGCGCCTCCTTACAATCACACAAGCAAAACAGTATTATTATGCAAAATAAATGTCCTCAAATTATATATTCATATTTTCAATTGATTTACATTTTGGTATATATCAAACTGTTTTCAACATTGTGATAGCTTGACATAAAATGAATTACAAAGAACCCAAGAAAAATTATAGTTTGTACCTCTCTGGAGTCTTCTCCTTTTTAGCTTTTTTAGCACACCTTATCATCTTGCTTCTGTAGCTGTTTCTTCTGGCCGGTCCAGTTTTAATGGACGTATTTTCAAATGGTGTTGTAGAGATGGCAACTTTGCCACCACTCTATAAAGTTGGAATATGTTAACATATTAGCAAACTACAAGTTATAATACAAGACACATAACTTGTAATGTAATTCTATACTTTTTATTATAAAACAGCACACACCTTTAGAAGAAGCTCAACTACTTCTGTGTGAAAAAGGCCATGCACTGGTTCCCCATTGACATGTGTGATGAGGTCCCCAGCTTTTAATCCAGCTGTGTGTGCGGGTCCTCCTTCTTCTACGTTCTAAAAATAAACAATCAGTGAATATATATATAATATAATATTTAATATATATTGTTGATAACTTAAAAATCTTGAATAACTTTATTAATTTTAGTAATCCATAAAAGCTTCACATCTTACCCAGACCATGTGGTAGACAGTGTAGACATCACTGTCACAAGCATAAACTCGTATGGCTCTGAGCGTGAAGCCAAACTTCTTTCCAGAACTATGTATTATGACTGGTTGCCGCAGGTTTGTAGCACACAAGGACAAGTCCCGACTTGGAGAGGAATCTCGCGAAGAAGGGTCTGAGGAAAGTGAGTACGGTGATAGGGGGCTGGGCAGTGGAGACACACCACAAAGGTCTGGAAAATAAATAAAAAAAACAATGAGAAACATGCAGGGTTGCTTAAAATGTTTTGATGTAGAAACGCACAAGACTTCCATTATGCTTGTGCTGTTTTATACCAGTGCAAAGCATAAAATTTTAATTTTCTTAAATTATATAACCCTTAACTAACCCTTAGCCCCAATTCCACGGCAAATCAATATAAATCTGAACAGGGAGCCTTTGAAATTACACCCAAATGCTGCATACACGTGCAAAATGAAAATTCTTTCTATATAACAAATCACATAAAAATGGTGCTGAAATGTTCCAGCCACATCTGTATGTCCATCCTACTTAATTTCAAAATGTAAAGTTTCTTTAAATTACATCATTAGCAACAAAACAAGCAGTTGCACAGATTTGTCATCATAGGTTTATAAGACTTACCTCCTGGAATCATGAGAGAAAGAGTTCCAGTTGAAACAGATTTGGGGACTTTTGGTACAACTCCAGACTTTTCCACAGCGGTCTGTGGAAGAGCAAGAGTTGGCTGAGTCACCTGGTCGCCAGGGGAGTTAATGTCAGGGTTCTCCCTCTCTTCACTTCGAGGGACCAGCTGGTCCAAATGTTCAGAAAAACTGTCTGTGAAAACACATTATACAATTTTAAATGCATCTGAAGTGTATCACACATACAGTGTACCAAAGGAGAATTCATTCTGTGACATTTTACCAGAGAGAGTTTCTCCTGGAGTGCTGCCAGGGGTTGTCATGTCAGGCTCATCTAGAGGTATTTCAACAGACAAGGATGGTTTAGTTGAGTCTGCAAGGCCTGAGGACTCCTCTCCTTCACTCTCTGCTGAAATGGCAAACTTTGGTAACAAACAAGACCCTTGGTTCATACTGCCACTGTCTGTTGACTGGGATATGGATGGCCTGTGAAAAGTTACATGTTATTTCCTATTCAAAATGACAAAAAGGTTTGGTATAAGTATGTCAGTATACATTTCAGCAAAATCTGGCATCCAGTTAAGTGTATCGGCAGTCAGTGGAGTCTCCGCTTTGTTCTCTTCAGTCTCTCCCTTTTCCTCCTCCAGATGCCCACGGGACAGATCCAGACTGCTGTAAACCTAAAAACAGTAACACTGTGTTAGTGGAAGCTTTAGTATTTCTACTTACTGGTAAAAAACTGCACTGGCAGTTGGCAACATTCAGTGGTATAATGTTTAGAGAGAAAGCCTGTGAAACACACAGTTGCTCTTGGAGATATGCAGTATTTTCTTGTTTTGATGAAAGAAGAGAACATGCTGCAATGCAGCAGAACAATTGGTCCTAGCCTTGAAACATTATATCTCACATTACAGCAAAAAACTGCCAAGCAGAAAATATATGCAAAGGTATAGTGCATGTAGATTATTGTCGAGGGGTGGGCCAAGATGCAAAGAATTGTGTACATCCCCCTGAATCCCAACACGTGAATGTGATTAACAGGACACACCTTGGAGAATCTGTGAGAACAGGAGGAAAACTGCCGCAATTCCATGTTGAAGTCTTCATCATTAGTGTCATCCTCTTCTGTTTCAAGGTGATGGTATCTTTCAGAGCGAGCTACATAAGCATAAAAGCCTCACATTATATATAATTTTGTCATATGACTTTCTGTTGATTGTACACTCACTGTCAAAATAGCTAGTGTCATCTTCAGATTCCAACTGTGGAATAAACTCTGCTTTCTGCCTCAGCAAACTATTCCAATCAAGGTTGTGAAAAAACTGATGATTCTTCACCTCTGCAGCCCCTCCTGTAAAGAAAAGGTTGATAAAAGCTTAACAGATTCATAATTTTTTTAATATATTTTTAACATATTATGGGTTATGCCATGGTGACATTGATTGAATGTGGACGAGCAGGTAGTTCACTCTTTTAATGATGTGTTTTTGTGTTTCAAAACTGCCCTGCTGTCAGCTCAATTTGTTTTTGGTGACTAGTAATAATAATGACCTGGGCCATTTTGAGTGAGTTATATGTAATAATTATAATGCAATAGTCTTCAGTAGTGCTTTTCTGAAGATGCAAAGTCTGTTCACACTTGGTGGTGGAAAGCTACTTTCATTCAAGTCACAGATGACCCAAAGTAGATTGTGCCTTTTGTATGAAGTTATGCTAAAATGAGACACAACAGAACTGTTAAAAAATAACACACCTGTACCAAGTCTTTCCAGAGGATTCTGTCTCAACAGCAATGTGATAAGTTCTTGCGCATCAGGAGGTGGAGCGTCTTCACCCTCCGGCCAGTTGATTTCATCTGAGTAAATAAAAACTGTTGAATTGACTTGATCCAACACATCCTGTAATTTAAGATTGACCCACTCATAAATATGTTGCTTACCGCTAATGACTTGTCCAAAAAGTTCCTCTGGTGTGTCTCCAAAAAACGGCACACAGCCAACTAGAAACTCATAGAGGATAATGCCCATTGCCCACCAGTCCACCGGCTTCCCATAGCCTTGTCTGAGAATCACCTCTGGAGCAATATACTCGGGAGTTCCACAAACCTATGAAAAAATATAGTTTACATTTTTATTTTGTTTGATATAAACTAAGTTTTATTTAAGTCAAGTTTTAACATTTACCTGCTTGTCAGAAAATTCCCGTGCATCTTTCTCTATATGTCCTTCATACAAATTGGTAGTCATATTCATCAGGCCTACTTTTGACAGCCCAAAATCTGTCAGTTTTATGTGCCCCATTGAGGTAACCAGCAAGCTGTAAACAACAACAAAAAAATTAACTAATTGAAATTACAGAATCCAAACACTATTCACCATTTTGTGGTAGCGTGCATCTACTTACTTGTCTGGTTTAAGATCTCTGTGTACAATGCCATAATTGTGGAGGTACTCGAGCGCAAGTACAGTTTCAGCAAAGTACATTCTGGCCATATCCACAGGAAGAGGACCCATGTTTTTCAAAAGAGTGGCGCAGTCACCACCTGATGAAAATAAACTCTGTGAATCTGGCTCATCTTAACTGGATGTTAACATGGAAGGAAGAATATTTGAATATATTTTAACAAAGCAGTTGTAATCTAACCTTCTACATATTCCATAACCATGCACAAGTGGCGTCGTGTCTCAAAAGAGCAGAACATGGAGACCACAAAAGGATTCTCTGCAAAGGTGAGGATGTCTCTTTCTACAAACGCCTGCTGGATTTGATTTCTCAAAATAAGGTTTTGTTTGTTGATCTTTTTCATGGCAAAACGCTGCTTTGTCTCCTTATGCCGAACCAGGTATACAGCTCTATAAACACAAATCATCTATATTACAACATTAATTACACAACTAATAAAATTACAATTTATTAACACATTGTTCTTACCCATAGGCGCCATTACTAATGAGTTTTATCATCTCAAAGTCTAGCTCACAGGGTTTCCGCCTGGACCGTAATACTGCACTAAAACTTTGAGACTAAAATAAGAAGAGAAATGCATTTTTATTCACAAAATGAAGGTATTACTGATATGTTTCCATGAACTATACAGTGTCAATACCGAGTCATCTGTTTCAGGTGTTTCTGCAATCCCACTGTCACTGCTAGTCAACTGAGCTATTTCTGAAAATAGAGCATTTAAAATGAGATAAATCATTTAATCGCAGAACATTCCATGTTTACCAGACCAAAAAAGTGTATTTCTGGCCCATTAGTTGAGGTGCTGACTCGAGATTAAATTTAAAGCAGTAATAATGGTGTGAAAGTAAACAGCCAAAAACTCTGCACTAGCACAAATGTTTATTAGTCACCATGTTACATCTGTGTAGTTTTGAATATGCATGCAGTAAACTAAAGTCCTTGCACTGGGTTTTTCCACTCTCCTGGGGTATGTAAACACATCTGAATATCATCTAACATCTGTCCCTCCTTGAGTGCATGCTTTAAGCACAGGGTAAATGAAACATGGAGGATACACATGGGGGAGACACAAGAAGCTGTGGATCTGTATTGGTCTGTGGGGAGGCCATTCTTTTCTAATTAGTTATAATGGACATGGAGAAGCAGAAGGTCATTATGGGCTATACAGCTCCAGCCATTAGCCAGACGTCCTTTTTCTAGTAGCCTAATTCTTCACAACTGACTCCACTCTATAAACATGTAAGAACTGTTTAAGTTTGTAATTTTTACATCAAGATTGAAATGAAGATTGTTTTCTGGCCAAGGGTCACACAGGCCACATCACACAGTAATGTGAGACTTCACCTTCCAGAGGGTCCCTTGTCAGTCCAAGCTGGCTGATAATGTAACGGGGGATATCAGTTTTGATGCCCTGGCCCTCTTTAGCGTGTCCTTCAGCAGCCTCCAAAAGGTGATAGAACTCCTCTGGATCAAATTCCTAGCGGCAAAACAGATTTGAGGAATGCAATCAAATTGTAAATATAAATACATGGAGTAAGTGTATAATAAAAATATTTAATAATTTACCAGGCATTCCAGTAATCGTGCTGGTCGGGCTATGACCATGAGAAGTTTTTTTACTAGCTCTCTGATGAAGTTCACTTCCTCACTCTCTGATCTTTCTGTTGACTACAAGAAATCAACCAAGACATAGAAAGCCTTTGTGTCTTTTTTATGCCAACAAAATAATTATTATTTAATAGTATTATTTGCACTTGAATTTACAAACCTCCATAACCAGCTTCTCCAGCTTATCGGTGAACTCGCAGAAATAGCTGGAGGTGACCAGTCCTTGCCGACTCTTCTCGAGACAGTCACGGGCCAGCTCAATGATTTGGTGATGTGCAAAGCCGAGGACGCCATCTGCCAGAGGGAGGACGTTCTCTGGAGAGTTACTGCGGATGATCTCCTCAATCTTCTCCTCCATTTGAGCTGTGGCCTGCAGGGAGAAGCAGGTTAGCCAAACATGCCACTGCATACTGTGTGTGTGTTTGTGTGTGGGTAAATAGGTTATCTTTGCTTCAAATATTGTAATTACCCTCGGAAATCTCTCCTTGTAGACATGGTTCATCATAATAATTTCATTGTCAAAACATGATGGAGATCGTCCTGGGCTAAAACACACATTTAATAAAAATACACTTAGGATGAAATTTCAGTTTAAAATAATAAAGACACCAAATGTAAACCTTAGACTGCGTGAACGTGGTCGCATTGGTGTGGCTCGTCGACATTCATCTCCAGAGATGCTCTCAGTGCAGAAGTGCTTAGAGAGAAAGTGCAGTTCATCAGGAGTTGGCTGGAAGGGCAGCTGGTGCAGCTTCTCCTGTGATGAACAGGATGACTGAAAATGAAACATATACATTTCAAAATGTAAAGAAAAAAGTGATGTTACTGTCTCTTTATTTATGTATTGTATGCATCCCATTTACAAGGAGTGTTCAGTGTTGCTCAATCAATGATTGTACAATAGCACTATTAAGATAATCTCAAAGTTACACATGTAAGAGATAAATACTTACAGAGAGAGTGGAGCTAGGTGTGTTGGTTCCATAGCCTGATGAGGGGAGAGAGGCCAGTGACCAGCGGCGGCCATCAGTCCTATGACACATGCAGGCAAAAAGATTAAAACCACTATTCTATTTCATTTCTCTGTTATTTGCCATTTTGCTTGTGAAATGTTTAATGCATAGTATGGTATACCTTCGGGCAAATGAGAAATGGGCTGAAGCACTGGGGGAGAAATTCCTGGGACTGTCTTGTGGACTTGTTCCTATGAATAAGAGAAACATATTCCTATATTTTATGCAAGTCAAAACAGGCTTAAATCAAAAAACATGTCACAGTACTATCAAAATATTACACAGGATGTTCTGGATTACAACAGTTTCGCACATGCTGAAATTACCAGTGAGAGTAGAGAGTGGTGAATGAGGTCGTGGTAAACCTGATGACTGACCACTTCCTATCAGACTTTTTCTGTTGCTTGTCCTGCAACTGTAAAAGCAAACATAATGGAAAAAAATTTGCCAAGCATAATCAATAAGACAATAAAGACCTCTAGTTAGAACAAATAATTGTGTAAGTGGAACAAAACTATTTTAATGAATCACTCCTAATGATTCTATGTGATATATGCATTTTTTATTAACATGTATTGAGTCCGGATGGATCCCAACACAAATTACTAATTAAAACAACAATTTGTCTTTTAAGGAAATATATTGTTCTGTTTTATTGTTCTGAGATAATAATTGTCATAGCCCCTGTGCTCTCTTCTGTCTAAAACAACTGTATTTTTCACAAAAATACAGACTGCCCAGAAATGACAACAAATGAGGCCACTGAGTTCTATTCAGTAGGCAATGATGCACTATATAGTGAAGCAACAACCTTTGATATAACTCAGATATATATTTTTTGCTTATTTTAGATAAAAGAAACAAAAATAGATAACACTGTGATGTATCAGACTTTGAAAACCAGCTTCATTTGGACCTCTGCTGTCTTTTTTTTTTTTTTTTCTCCCAAAGTTGCTGTTCCCTGTCAGAACTGTCAGTAGAGCTTACAAAGCAAAGGCCACACAAATTATAGCTTGCTGACAAAATAATGCTCAAAGACAAAGACAAACACATTTGGTTATTAATAGATTTCAAAATAACTCAAAATGTCAGATCAGAAGATTCATAATAATGAATGCAAGTGTTACATGTATGACTATGAAAAATTCCCATGTTAAATTATTTGTTCTCACTTAGGTCTGATGTTTCCTTGTTGTCATTATTGAAAAGCATATGGAATGTTTAGTAAATGTTTTTTTTTTTGTTCTACCTTATGTCCAAGTGACATAAATTGAGGAAAAAAGTTCAGAGTTTATGTCATGCAAAGCTCTTTTCCGTAAAATGGGTCAAGGATTAAAAATAAACACGTAGTAAGAGCTTTACTAATACTCTGGCTCCAGAGAAGTGGGAAAAAGCATCTTAAATGTTAGTTAACATCTACACACAATGAAATGACATAGTGCTTAATGCATGATTTGCGTAAACATGTTAAACAATTCTTTCATATTACTTAAACAAAGCATACATCCTATATGAAAGTCCAAATAAGGCTATAAAATGATGTGAAGGTTAGAGAAATGTGATACTGCTTTAACAATAAACGGACAATCGCCCTTTACCTCCCGAAGACAAACATCCACAATAGACTGGGAACACCCAATCTCTCATTCAGTGCTATCTGATTTGAGGTATTGTAAAGGAAAACCAACTGTCCTAGTGCACACTGAGACCTGTTTTATAGAGCAATAAGTTTAACAAAAGACTAAATTTGAGTCCAAGTATTTCCAGAACATTACCTCTTGGAACGGCGCAGACGACCTCGACCAAAAAAGCGTGGCTTGTCAAACTTGGACAGAGCGCTCCACAAATTTGAGTCAGACATCGCGCACAGGTCACGCCAGAGGAAGAAGACTATAGAGGAGCGGCTGAGTTTACCCAACTGTACTCATGACTAACAGTAGTATTACAAACTGCAGAGAGGACACTGTGTCCTCAAATCAAAGTAATCCAGGGACAAAGCTGTGGGTCAGGTGCAGACAGGTCCGCTGCGGCAGAGATATGACACTTGCAGACTTTTGTTTTGCTGCAGACTATGACAAACCCTCACCCTGCTGCTGATGCTCAACATGCTTCATCTCATGTAACTGGCACCTACCACTGAGGAGATTTGGGAGGGGACTCTGTCACCAAGTAACTGGGATGGATCAAATGGAAATGATGTCATTTCTCCTCTTTGGCATAGGTCTAACCATCTTTGTTTTGACTTATTTATATCACATGTTTTTATACATACTGTACAAATGTACACATAGTCTAAACTTCTAAAATGATTACAACACAGCTTAAATTAAAAAAGTGACACTATGGTATAAAAACATCAAGGGGTTTAAAAAATTAAATGAGCCAGACTGTAGACAAAAAACAGCAATAATATGCAATTGGCTTTGCTGTACCTTGACAATAAAGAGCATGAGCCAGATTGTATACTCTAAACATAAATGTTACAAATAGCTTCCATATAGGCATCACACGGCTAGTGACTACCATACACTACATTTTTCAAAAGGAGTCAAAACATATTATTGAAGTTGTGTTGTCATAATTAGGGCTTTGCATTCTGTCACAGCGACTAAGCACATGTCCCTATAGATTCACATGACAGGCAGTCTTCACTCTAATAATGGCTCTGCCCTGTTTCTGTGTTCCACATAGGAAACAATGGTTCAGATGGTTCAAAGTCAAACTTTCATAGAGCAGCATGCCTTGGGAGGTCACTGTCGAAAAAGATAACACAAGCAAACAATGTAGGCTCCTGGCTGTCATTTTCATAGTTTAACACATTGTGATATCAACTGAGCTGACAAGTAAACACAAGCACACATGGATCAGTGGCTTTGCCTTACTGTAGCACAGCCAAAGCAGGCCATCTTTGGAAGATGAACCAAAGTCAGATGGTGGGCAATGTGAGCAGTTCATTGAAAACAGTTTCAGAAATATTTTTGAATGAGGTGCTTTGAATGAAAAACAATAGATTTAAAGAGGTTTTACTTTCACAAGGGATTACTTATGTAATTACTTAAGATATGAGCATTAAAAAAACAAAAGCACAAACTCAACAACCAGCTGTCAGAGTTTACACTTGTCATGTGTCTGGGAGAAGGTTCTAGCTATATTTTCTAGTGCTTCTTTGTTTCTTTCAAATGACTGGAACCAGGCAAGCTGCAAACAGACAAAACATTTTCCACTCCAATTTATTTCAAATACTGCAAATCCTACTTAGCACATGAAAGAGGAAATAAACCCAATCTCTACAGAGAGGGGCAACATGGGGGAAGGGGACACCATCAACATTATATAAGCACCAGTGCAATGTCACTTCAGTGGTAAATGATTTTTGGAGAAGACACCACATTCTTATTTCAAATCTTAATGGCACTACCACTAAAAACACACGCAGAAACATGCGCTTCAACAATATACACAAAGTATATTTACAAAGCTATGGATGAAAAAGCTCAAGCTTACCTCCAAAAATGAAAAGCGTGCAGTGGGCTGCACGGACTGCAAGGGCTAGTGGGAGTGGGACTCAAGCTTCGGGGAGTGAGGCTGCAAAGTTAAATGGAGTGTTGTAAACGTTTTTTAGTACAAAGAGCCTAACAGCTCCGACATGAGCGGACACACATAACACAAACTCAGGTTCAGAGCATCACCACTCCAGTGGACAGTCATGTTTGTAGAATCTAACAAGGCTATGAGCGTTTCATACTAAGGTCTAAGTTACAAATGAGATAAAACAATATAATTTTTTATTCATTTATTAAAACCCATGGATATTTTAAAAGGACAGAGGTTTAAGTAATTATTAATTTACACAGTTGTAATGGCAAATGTATTCAGAATTAAATATGCAGTTCCAGGAATATGATTAAATTATTTAACCGATTTTTAGTTATTATATTTAGTATATTTATAATGTTGACCTATAAATGCCAGGATGAGATTCATTGAAATAATCTGTTCTTCACAATCGGCTGTTGGACAGGTCACAACAGTGCCACATCACACTGAAGGTGTGCTGAGTGTCCACAATGTCACAGCGGCAGGGAGCATCTTGTGCAGATGCGGCACTCATGACTCATGACATGCTCTGCCCCTCAGATGTGCACAAAAGAGCTTAAAAACAGAAAGGACAGACATACGCATGTACAGGACAGAACACTAAAGGTTAGCTGTAGGAAAAGCTGACATTAAAAAGGGGGCTATTGCTGATGCTAACACTGCACAGTGCATAGCAACAGTAAGACAACAACAAACAGAGACTGACAGATGAGGCTAGATGCTGAGAGCTGTCCCTGAATCTGCTGAACATAATGGAGAAAAATACTCACTCTAGCGTTAACCCAGGAATCCTCAGCCTTTCCCGCTGGGCTTTCATGGTTCAACTGTGCTCGTTTGCTCTATTGTGGACATGATATGCATTCACACTGCCTGCGTCGCATTGACAAAGAGCCAAACCCCGCCACCACGGACAAATGAGGAGGACAGCTTTTTCAATGGAAGCAAGGAAAAGCAAGATCGTGTTTTGGTTTTTCCCGTTCCACCTTGAAGCTGTCAAATGAGGTCTTCAGTTGCCTGCAGAGGGCATGGAGGCAGGACAATAGCCCTTTTCCCTCCCCTAGTACACGCCCCCTGCTCTTTCAGAACGCATGCAAGCTTGTGGACAACCCCCACCACCATCTGGTGACTTTCTACATAACAGGGCGAGATAGACGGGATTCAGTGAACATTTTGCCCTTTACCGTTAGAAATGCAGACACCTGGGAATCAGCTAGTATGAAGCACATCCTCTGTCACTACTCAGATGATGTCATTGTAGAAATAAATAAAAAAAAATCATACTGCACCACCGTTTGCAGCCCACCATTCATGTAAAAGGGGAGAGGACACCAAGACCACATCTTAAATTGTGATATCATTTAAATAGACCTTCATAAAAGTAGCCACAAGCAGTTGTCTATGAAAATGTACTTGAGCAACAGGGGCATAGGAGTATGAGATGATGTTGATATGAAACAAGAGTAGAGTAGGTCATAAGCCGGCTATGGACACGGCCAACACTAATGCCAAATATACTGCCCTACATCTCATAGTCATTTCATGTGGTTTCAACTTTATACATCAGAAATGCAATGTCCTATCAAAATACTGATACATGACATGTGGTTAAATAAGCAACACATTGCTTGGCCTGACTCTCAGACTGCAGTAAAACACTGAAAGAAGGTTGATTTGGTAGCAAACTCTACAGTTGGACAACTGTTGCCAAGGTGATGCCAGCCACGACAGAATCAGATTTCAAAAGGTACATTTTAGCTCCTACAGTGACAAATGATCACATAGGCTTTACACTAGATTGAATGACACATTCAGACTTTACCAACAGAAAATGACAATAATTACTTTAAATATGTTTCAGTCTATCAAATGGTGAAGGTTAATAACCTTCCTACCTACCTAACGACAAGGCCATTAACAGCCTACATATACCAACAAAGATACTGAATAAATGAAAAAATCCCATAAATAAAAACAAAAACCCTTTCTTGACTTTTCACATGACAAACCTCCTTTTTCCACAAAGCAGAGAATTGAAGTTGCATTAATTTCTGTAAACTTTCTAATATCAAAACGCTAACTCACAATTACTATGGTTACCAAGGTCAGATGAGGCTTCAGAGCACTAGATATATAAAGCGATGCAGCTGCTAATATCACAGCAGTGTTACCAGTGGCTCACATAGAGCAAATACTTCCTCTGGTTCACACGACAGGTCGGGCTCAGTTCACTTTGCAAATTGGATGAGACTCAAATCCGCTTCATGTTTGTGGCGCATGACATTATGCCATCTGTATATCTATTTAAAAGTTTTTCTTCTTAAAAGATGCACTATATAACTTTTCTGATGGGAAATTTCACAGTATGGCATTAAATGCATCTTTCTGCATGCAGACAAACAGGTGATGCTGCTAGGCCAAGTTACAGGTTAGATCTGTGGAGAGGTAACCCTGCATTTTTTTCTATGTATTTTAGTAACTATAAACATCTAAATAAAGAAAAAAATAAACAAAGATATTGTACAAGTTAATGCTACACCATGGAGCATTCCTTGCAAAGCAACATCATCTCCATGGAGACAAGCAAACGGCAAAACCATCACCAAAAGGTTACTAGGTGCAAGTAAAAAATATTATCTAGATCAGGCAGGATACACAAAAAATCTGATTATGATCACCTTCACCTGGAGCATAAATGTAGTCTAGGCTGCAACTGCTCTGTGCTCGGTGATCAGTAACTTTACATTATATTGAATGTGAGTGTGTTGCAGAGGGTGAGCACTTACAGACTGCCTCTTCTGGGAAGACTCAGTTCTTTCTGAAAAGTGAAATGAAAAATTATATTATAATGAAAAAATATGAGTATGTTTTACATTTTTTTTAAAAATACCCATCTTCTAGCACACAAACATTGTGATCACTCGTAACTACAATGATGCATTTCAGACAAATGTCTCAAGTGTTTGATGATAGAGGGGAAAATATATAAAATTATTGATAATATTGTAAATATTATTTTACAGATTTAAAATGTGAATGTATATTGTTTATGATGCAAAAATGAAAATGCAACAAATTTATGTTACATCTTCTATAGACTACAAATAAGATAGAGATTCAAAACTCACTCAACCAACACATTTACAGGTAAATTTCTGCTGGACCGCCACAATGTTGACCCACCTTAGATAAATTTATGAGATTACTAGATAGTATAATAGATTAATAATTAGGAAACTACAAAAGAGTCGCAGTTCCTGAACCAAACACAAGATGCTGCTGTTTTACTACTACTGCTATACTACTGCTATATTATATTCACACTGTTTAAGTGTCCCCTCAGTAACTGGCCTTGGACAGCCAAAAGATTTAATTAATGGGAATATACAGTTTTGCGAATTCATTCTGACCAAAAATTCCATTTGAGAACAACTGCTTAGTTTGTGTAATTGCGAAGTAATTCAAAACTAGTTTGATATTTCTTTATTCAGTAAAAAGTTGACACTTCACAACATCCAACAAGTAGATATAATTAGATGAATACAAGTGCACCCATCTGCACTTTATAATAAAGAGAAATTGATGAGAAACCTAAAGTAAAAATTTCAGTTTTTTGGCATTTATATGTGCAATCATAAGGAAAACTGTCACCAAACAGGATCATGCACAGTGGAAACTCTGGGGCGTAAAGTCCAGATCCAAACATCTTAGATAAGTGCAGTCTGTGCTGAGATCCAGCTACAATAGTGTTGGAGAAGCAGCTGGTTAGAGCCTACCTGTAAACCACGTCTCCTCAGGATACTGGACTCATCCATGGTACAGAGCCTCCTACCGGTGCATAGCCATTGTGCTCAGCCTAGCTCAGCCTGCAGCTACATCTGATCTTAGCTGCTAAACACTTCAGCACAAGGTGTGATTGGAGGGAAACAGTCAGCTGACAGTCTCTCGCTCTCGTCCTTGTAACTCCAAGGAGTAAAGGAGAGCAGCATGGAGTGATAGAGGAGGAATCGATGCAGGAGTTTTAGGTAGCAGGCTGAGCACAGGCAGAGCTAAACTAGCTTTGTCAAAAGGCACACTCATTTTTCTGCGTGCGCCCTAGGTCGCTGTAAAATGACAGGATTTCCTTTAAAGCATTGTTTCCTTCAACCTCTGCAGTGACTCTAGCATCCTGTCTGCAGCAGAGGGATTACAGACAATGCTGCATTAATGCCATGAATGAGTCACCGAGACACTGGGGGACTACCTAAACACTATATCTATGCTAAAGATGAACATTCACAAAATGTAAGACCCAAGGCCCACATGTTGTATGTAAATATACTTTATATGTCCTGGATACACAATCCACACTGCAAAACATGTGAATGTATTCTATTTAGCAGAAGGTAGAACTTTCTGAATTATAAAGCCATCCTGAGAATTACCACTTGTGATTTTGGATTCTGTTTCAGTCTGTTTAGATTTTCCCATTCCCTCTCTGTCTTGCTCATTTCTATTCATTGTGGTCTTGCTCTGTGAATTTTAAGTGGACTCACACTATTCTGCACAACTCAAATCTTAAATTAATGCTTTTTGCCAATGTCACAATTTTATTCCCAACGAGACTTTACCATCACTTTTAATATGTACATGAAAAAGAGCACTTTGATGTACATATTAATTATATGAGTTAGCTGTGCCCATACAAAGACCCAAGTTCATCTGCCTGAATCTGAAAGGCCTTGGAGTAGAATGTTAACTATAACTATAACTATCTATTTTATAAGAAAAAAGAAATTTAAATCTGTCAACAGGACAAAAGTCTTTGATTGAAAACTGTTCATTGAACACCCATCAGACAAAATTTGACTGTGTAGGGCTGACCATAGCCTACTTGAAGTTTTGAAATTAAGTTCTTACACAATTACTAAGCCCTTACCATCTGATATAAACTTGGTTTACAATTCCTATTATAAATCATATCAAACTGATTTTACAATAAAACACGTGAATAAAATGACAGTAAAACACAGAATCTATAAATAAAATATGTCAAAGGAAATGGCACCCCCAACTGGATTGATTAAATCATGAATTTTGCATTTGTCTGTGAATAAACAAACTAACCCTTTTGAGGAGCACCTGTCATAACAATACAAAACTAATGGCTCATGGTTACACTGAAATTGACTGTTGTATAGATTAACTATCACACACTTTCACAAGTCATCAGGGAACTATATAAAATTTGACAGAAGTTTGATCTGCTGTTATTCTGAACTCACCTGACTAGAGGTGATGGATGGGTCAGACTTCCCGAGGTTAAGAGACCGCATACGAAGCAGATTTGATGTCTCAGGTGAAGGATGCCAAGTGGGTTGCTGTGTGTTACTAGGCAGCAGAAGGTACTTTCCTGCAGGAAAGTAAAGGGTTAACAGTGTCAGTAAAATGGTATTGATTCACATTCATTCTACTAATGACACAAACGTGGTGAATATTGCATCTGTACCAGAGTGCCATTCGAGCAGATGACTAATGAAAAAAAGAGATGCCACCAGCTAATCTGCCTGATAAGAGACATGCTTTAGACAAAGGCTCAGAAGGTTACAAACCCATTAACACATCACTGTCAAATATTGAATATGCATTGTCTTCTACAAATGTGACAGGATACACCATGCTTCATATTGTGTTAAACAACATTTACCCAAGATGGCAGCTAGATGGCACTTTGAGCCATGATGTCCTGCTAACAATCTGCAAAAACTTCAGCACATAGAAGTGTGTCTACAACAATTTATTAATCAAATCATTTTGCCCACCTCTATTAGAGCTAATACAATATAAAGTCAACATTTCAAGTTTATTAAAAATCTGTTATTGTGTTTCAACAAAAATGAAACTGACAATAACAAAACAATGAATGATAAACAAAGAAAGAACCCAACTCAATACTATCTATCATTTATATTTATCATTTATATTTGTATTTACTTATTTTTATGTATATAATGATACTTCATAAATATCTGACTTGTTTGAAAAAGTACACTGTAATATGTAAATTTTGGATGGCATAAGCACAAGTATTGTATTGGTGATTATAAGCAAATTCCTTGATTCCCTTTAGCGTAAGGCCTCTTCACTTCTGAGAAGGAAATGACCAGTTAACAATCAGGAAGTGAGGCAAGCAATGGCAACAACTTCCTCCTCTGGGAAGGCTGGCCTAAGCCCAGGGTTGTGCACATCGGTAAACATAATGTCCTTATGAACATACACATTCTAATTATCAAGAACTTTATAGTGCGATTAACAGGAGATGTGCATTTCCAGGGGCCATGTTTACAACGTTTAGTCACAGACAGCCGCAGTGTGAAAACTAGACTGTTGGCCTAATTACCTGTAAGTCCACCCCCGAGGCTCCTCCTGCGCATGTGTGTCCCATCTTCACTCAGATACCGCTTCAGTTTCAGGGCAGGGTTTAATCCCACCGTCAGGTCAGGATTACTGTATTTACGCACTGATGTGGCAGGAGGAAACAAGATGTGGTCCATCTGGAAAGAAAAAAAAAAAAAAAAAAAAAAAAAAAAAGTAAGTTACACCTCACACTATAATACTCAAGGTCATCATTCAAATCTGTTCTGATTTATAGTAAAGGTTATCATTAGCAAAAATAATTAGAAACGTCTTCATTTTCTATTACCTTTGGCAAATACTATTCAAGATATTTTGGGTCTTTCTTCCTCATTCTTCTTTATATCAAAAGACAACCATTTCCTGACTCCTTTCAACACATTTGGGTCATTGTCACAAAGACAGGCTAAAGCTTTTCCCCAGAATCTGGAAAGTCCTCTTTTTGCATTATGCAGTTTAGTATCAAGTTTGCCTGACTCATTGGCTGACAGATCCCATTATTATGTCCTCACCTCCATTATGTTTGTCTCAGTAACTACTACTCTTGTAAATTGTACAGTGGGCCGTACCTACTTTATTGGCTGACTTCCAGCCATACGATTTTTTCCCTTGGAAACTAAGTAATAATAATCCATATGAATGGTCCATTGTTCTCAAAAGATGACGCGTTTTTGATTTAAAACTACCAAAGAGTTTCATCTATTTATTGAAGCTCATGTTTTATTTGTGCTATGATTCAAAAAAAAAAAAAAAAAAGAGTTTACCAGGGCGATTATGGTTTAGACACATTTTGTTTAAATTCTAACTGACACATTTAGTGATTAATCACAACTAATCAATTATTGAGATAATCATCAACTAATTAATGGAATGATCGTTATCTAGACGTTATCAAGTCTAGACACTAAAACATTTGATAAGGATCAATATTATCTGGGTCAAATTTATAAAAATCTGATAGTCATTTATCTTTTATGTTCCAAACAACTAATTAATCAGTAGAATGTCTGTAGATTAATCGGCTCATAAAATAAACGTTACTTGCAGCCAGTTTTGTTCATCATAACAATTTCTGTATCAATACATCGCACTTCAAACTGTGTGTGAGAGGCCTACTTTGGAGAGATGCAGCAGAGGGAATATCCATGTGAACAACAACAGGGAAATACATGATGCAACAGTATAAACTCAAATCAACCGCAACTATGGGTGGAACTAAGTACAACTGAGACACAAATGTGTGATCCAGTTTTGCCTTTGGTGTCACTGAAAGACTGCTACAATTTTATTTTGTGAGATCTTGTCCCATTCCAGACAGCATCAGATGAAGAATATATGTGCGCAAATGTGTCTTGAGGCTTGTCACTTGTGTGGGACACCCTTCCCTTTTTTAGTGTTACAATTATTGTGAGAAGAAATCTATTGTTTAGTCAGAGTGTTAATGCTAATCCTGTGAAAAACATAAAATCAAGAGATCAGTTTTTTGTTTTTTTTTTAACTTCAGTTCACATTGTCTAGTAGATGATCAATGGTCTATGAACAGCTTTATGAAGCAACACTACACTACACTAAAGTTAATGTGATGTAAAAAGTAGAAAAAAGAGGCAGAATAGATTGAAATGATTTACTTTTGCATGAGAAATTATCCAGACTGTTATGATTTTAGTTCTTACAATTATATGTGACCTGAGAAATCATGATTATCAATGAACCCATTGATCACTATGAGTTAGTAAATGTTCAAATAATTTTACAATTCAACAATACAGGAAGCAAGACTGAAAATTCACATCTTATTGTCCTCCATGTTATTTAGCAACACATTGCACTGCAAAGTATGCTATTGTGACAAACCTATCTTATCTTATATTCAGATATTCAGATTTTGTTCATTTGGTGTACCTCTTCTTCCTGTAGCCCTTATGAAAACTGTGGGAGTATTGGAACTTTTAAAAAGCACTGTTCGAAGCCAGTGCAGTGTGCGGCCTCAGCAGGACACAGCAGGTAAGAGGAGCTTGGCAGCAGTCTGTGCCCTTTCACCCACCATCTCTGAGGCCTGGGGCGGGCAACCAGCTGAGCCAAGAGAAAACATCAAATGTGACCTGCCTGCTTCCTCTATCAGCCCCTCTGTGTGTGTGGACAGTACCCACAAGCTCATGTTTTCTAAGCACAACAAAGCAGCAGGCAGAGAATTTCAAGTAGCATACCTTGTATTTACCAACCATATGATCGCCCTGTGGCTTTGTGAGTGTTTCAGTAACCGTTGTGCCACCAAGCCAGAAAAGAGGAATACATTTACAAACCAAACATGATTCTGTGATCTTGTATCTCAAGAGATCTGTGATACTATGTTCAACCGCAGTATCCGCTCAGTCAAACTAAACATGCCATTTTCCCAAGTGCCTCCCAACCCCCTAGCTCTTTCACAATATTTCCTGTCTCTCAAAGATTTAAACAACCCTGTCTTTTGAAAAGCTTACCAGTCTAATAAGTATGTCACGCTTGGAAGTAATATGTACAGGCATAAAGCACAACAATGAGGCAGGCTGAACAATAACAAGAGGTGAAGTACGGCAAGAGCTGGGTAGATCAAGGTTCCTGTACATATATAACCACCACAGAGTGTATATTATAAACACACTCCATCTTGACCAGTAACTTGATTCAATTACTGTTCACTCTAGTGGTCTCAGTATAGAGGCCTGAGTTACTAAAAACAATCAAATATCTATAAAAATCTACTTAGAGCCTCGAAAAAAACAAAAAACAATCCACTAAATGATATGTTAATATATGAACGAACACAGGGTCCTTAATGCGTTTCCATTGACAACATGTAGAAACAGAATATTTACAATGAGAATGAAAACAGCTTTGTCAGAAATGTCAATACCAATCCAATTTGTCACACATAATTTAATTGCTTTTTATACACATATAAATCACATAATCACCATACAGAAAGAACATGTAAGTGCTAGCGTACTCTGTAAACACTTGGGAGCAAAAATATTTCAGCTGCAGTGGAGCATGTTCCACTTGTCTCGCCTCCTCCCAAATGACTGACGTACATTTTGGCCTGAGATCCCTCTTCTTTAGTAAAGATATTTACTGCCTTTAGTAAACTACAAACTGCTTTTTCGCTCAGAGCTCTGATGACAATACTGTTCACACAACATGTTTTAATTATTATACTGGATATCATCACAATGTTTAGATGTGGTCTACCCATTTACTTTGGAAAACCACAACAGCTTTGCATAGAATTTTGACAGAATTAATCATTTGGATGTTCTGTTACTGCCCCAAAGTATGGGAAGTACAGGTGTGCAATAATATTGATATATCATACCATTTAATGTGATGAAACAGTATCGATATCGGGGGCTGCTGTATCGCTAAATCACCAAGAATATTTTTGCATACCTTTTATTCCTTTTTGCATACAAGTTTATGTTAAAACATTGTGTTGAAATTGCATTTTTCTTAAAGTTTCAGGTTGTTCATACTATTATAATATTTTGTAAAAGAAAGAGTTAATCAATTAAAAAAGATTTCTGTAATAGATTTGAGTTTCTCTGCACAAATATTTGAACTTGTTATTTTTGAGGTATATATGCCATGAGTTTTCTGAACCGGCCCCTTTGGGATCAAAGTAGGTTGGATACGGCCCCCGGACCAAAATGAGTTTGACACCCCTGGTTTAGAGGAAGGAAACTCGTTTATACAACACATTTGATATTTTCTGTGTTTTGACGATTAAAATGTTGGTGGTTCATATTAGCTTTGTACAAGAAGTGATTTAACAAAGACTTTTAGTATCACAGCCATCATTTAGCCATTATTTTTTATTGCACCGTATCAAATCAATTTGAAATATATTGTATCGAACCAAAAGTGCACTATATCGAGATATGTATCGTATCGTGGCCTATGTATCAAAGTATGTATCGTATCGGCAGCTTCTTAATGATACCCAGCACTAATGGGAAGGCTGTAGTAGCATAATGGCCATGCATGCATTTATGTGGTCATTAACTAATACACAACCATTTCATTATCTAAAAGGGTGATTGCATTAAAAGGCCATTTTCATTTACAAAATCCAGTGAATATTAAGTCCACATTCATACTGAGTCCCTAAAGTAAAATATTTAGTATAATTTTTTCAAGTCTCAGAACTTCTTCAGTTGTAATGACTGTCAATTTTGATATGTTTTCCTTACCTTGTGTTCAGTTGATGCGTTGCATAGCAAGACATATCTACCCAGGGACATCTTCAAATGCTAAGAGGAGTAATCCTCAGTTTGGTCTAGCTATGATAACATGGTGAAGAATTCTGGGCAGCCATCAAGTCAAAAATCAAAGACAGTCCAAGGAAAGACGTATTCTACAAGTGGGCGTCAGAAGAGCCTTAACAGTTAATCCTCTTAGTCACAAACTACACCTGACGGCTTCCTGATTACAGACGTAACTCTGGATATACAGGCAAAAACCACGTTTGTCACAACCAGTGCCTGGCAAGAAAGTTAAATATTCTCAAATCAGCAAACATTGGTAAACCCACCGCAGCTGACAGAAAACAAACCACAAAAATTGATGCGTCAACATTAAAGATAAAACAGAATAAGATAAAAAATAAAACTGTTGGAATCAATATTTAGTTTGAGCATTGTTATTCTTTAGAGTTGGAACAGTTAGATTTTTCGCAGTTTAAAATTATGTTAATTTCTGGTGTCACATGACCCTCACAGAATGCAGAGAACAAAGAAATGTACAAATACCCCCAATATAGAGGAAAAAGCAAGTACAGCCAGAGATGTTTGGCCAAACAGAGCTCTTCAGTTACTGTGAACAATCCTCTCCTTTTATTATCAGTGGTCCATCTCCATCATTACTCGTAGTGGTTAATGCAAGGACATCAGGAAAAAAAAAAAAAAAAACAACAGACACTTACTACTGCATTCAATAAGTAGACTAAAATATGTCATTGGTTAAGACACTACAATGATATCTGTGTAGTATGTGTAGTATGGTGAGTCAGTAAATTGAGTGTGGGCTGTAGCTGAGTATTTATATTTTTCAATTGTACTGAAATTCATCTGAAATAGATTTTGTATCAGTAGACTACCTATGTAGCAATAAATTATATTCCACAACCAGCCATATAAATCATTTCATTTTTTGAGGAAGTTGAAATGAAGATGAATAACAGTATAAAGCAGTTAGATGGTATATCATATCTAACTACCGAGTCCAAGTTTACATAAGGCAAACTCAGAGTCAGTGTTTAGCTAGAATAATCCAAACATTAAATACAGCTTGATAGATTATAAAGTGGACATAACAAACTAAAGCATTTCCTAAAATATTCTACCACAAGAGCCAAGTCAGGAAATGTATCATAAGCAAAAGAAAGCTACAATTTATATCAGGACTATGAGATTTAGTAGCATGCACTTTGGCTTCACTGTTGTCAACAAATGCCTAGAAGCAACGACGGACTAATAATGCGCACAGATAAAATGAAGGTGGCATGCAGGTTTGATTAGTGTATAATGGATCATGCTGCACATCATTTATGAAAATTATAAAATCATCTTTTTTCCCTTAGTGTTGGTTTAATCTTGAATTGAAAGAATTACATAAGCGTTCTACAATTTCATGGATCGTGTTATCACTGCCCACAGTGTTGGCCAGCTCTAGGCCTGTGCAGACCAGAGACTTCTACAAAAGCTGTGATAAAGTGTGACGAGAGCTGCTGTGCTGCTATAGTAAAGTGCTGCTTAGTGCTTGCACTTGTAACGTTAGCCTGTGCTAAGTCCGGAGCTGGAGTGACACCTGAGCTGGGCTTTAATGAGAGGTGACGTCACTGAGTTCTTTAAAGATTTTCCTGCTGAAACTACAACAGTATAAGTTATAGAGGTCAGAGTGTCCTGTCTGACCCCAACTCACTTGTTTTCATTTTCATTCACACTCAATTTGTCACTTTTGCTCCTATTTTAAGAAGTCTCTATCATTCTCTTTAGAAAATTATATAAAACATATCTTGGTTGGAGCAAATATGCAATACAATTTATCTTTCTATACAACTTGAGGGTTTTACACAGTCATGCTCTTTAAAGATCAAAAACTGCACTAATCTGTCATCTTGTGGTAATCCAGAAAGTGCTCTTAAATCCAAACACCCTCACCAGACTGAGCACTGAAATGATCACAGCCAAACTGCAGTCCCTATTGATGGAGCTAACAGCTAATGATTTTAGACTTATTAAAACCATTATGAATGATTTAATAATTACCTTTAAGATGAATATTGTGCCAATAGTTTAAATTGCATTATATAGGAACAATCATTTTGGCAGGTCAATATTTATTGGAGACTCTGTACTAGTACGAATTGTTTTGTATTTTTCTGTAGTAAGAGATGTGTTGAATAAATCCTGATGATCCAGTGGCACAAATTAGTTTTAATATGATTTTCTTTTCAAGAAAAAGAAATCACACTTGAAAACGTATTATCGTAACAGGCTTACAAATGAGTGCTAAAATACAGCAGCTTAAGCAACTGGAGTAGCAGGTTTTAAAGCTGCAAGTTGTAGCTTCAAACTTACTGCTGCAAACACAGTAGCCATTTGCATTTGAATATAATTTTGAATAATTGTTCTGCTCTAGCCATATGAGAGATGCATCCATCTTTTTCAGTTCCATTAAAGTTCCATCAATGGCTTTAAGTAAATGCCAATATTTGTTATCAATCAACAGGTCTAAAAACAAACAACTGTCAGTTTAATTCAAGTAAGTACAAATCAGCTTTGTCAACAGTCTGAGTTGTCAGTAGGTGAGGGAAGGGACAGCGAGTCTGATGAATGAAAACACATCCAACTGCAATATAGGCAGACGACTTGGACAATGTTGCAAAATATGTAGTATTGCATTGTCCTAACTCTTTCAGGGGAATTACCCAGAATGCACCCAACCCACCTACAGCCTAAAGTCAAGTTGCATATGATATGAATTAGAGAAGGCTCAAGCACTTTCCATCACCACACCCTAAGTTCATCCAAGCCAGTCAGACCAGTTAAAAAGTGAATCAAACTACAATGTAAAAGCTGACTGTTGAGATGTTGATTTTGGACTCAAGGGGGTTAAAGTAGGTCACTGACAACTTAAAAGATTAGCCTAAATGTTTCCCTAAAAGGTAACTCAGCTTTCTACAAACTTGCTAGTCAACAGCTGATTTGAGAGGTGACAGTGAGTAAACTGTCTACCACTAATGTTTGGAAGCTGTTTTGTATTTACAAGCTGTTGTCTCTTTATATGGGTTTGTTGTCTACTGAATGACATGCTTGTTGCACAGGTTAAACGAATCATGCATAAGTACAGGTGAGGGCGAGACTTCTGCTTGTTTACCCTTTCGTCTTCCTCGTCCTCGTCTTGGTCTGGCTCTTCTGGGGATGTGCCATGTCCCATAGTGTTGACGCACTGAAAGCCCGCGTGGTGGCTGTCTTCTTCAATTGATTTTAGGTCCAATTCTGATGTCAGGTCATCTCCTTCTGATAAGGTGTGAGAACCTGACGAGGACCGACTCTCCGCGCCCGCTGCTGAAACCTCTTCCTGCTCCATTATTATTATTGGCCACAAACGCTAAGAGACACCTCCGTCGGACGATATTCTACCTCCAGTCTCTACTAATGAGAGCCACAAATTACCTGTCCAGTGAAAAAAAACCCAATAACACGCACAAGAATATCCATTTCGCTCTGAAGCTCCGACAGGGGTGACCAAAAAAGTCAACGTCACTTGACAGGAATACTAATTTAAAAAAGAAGCTGTAACTGCACTGCGCCAGACACGCAAACTAGATTAGACGAGGCGGCAAATTTGCGCTCTCCAGCTAATTTAACTCCAGTCACGGCGCGGGGACCATGTTGCCACTGGCCTTATTGCACGAGTGGGACACGGGCTGCTCAATCGGTTCCAAAATATTCCCGCCCACAACTGGGTAAGGTGGACCAATCAGATGTTTTTTGTTCCCAACGCAAAACAAGAATTGGTTCGTTATCTTAGCTTGAAAAAAATTAAATAGTAAATTTTATAATGACGACATAAGTTTTGACAAATCAACAATGGTTCAAAGTGCACTTTTGGCTATCAGAATGAAACTGGTTAAAACAATCATATAGTATAGGTTTTCTCTAGACTATTTCCAGTACCCTAACCCTAACCCATTACACATAATTAATTGTGTCAAATAACAGATCGGCCTGTGGCTTTCTTGTCATATTGATCTGAGTGACAATTAACAAATGATTCTTTCCTTAAACAGTGTCCTCTTGAACTTAAAAACCTTTAAAGCAACTATCAGGTAAGAGCATAAACTTACAATATAAAAAAGAATAGCAGAGTCCTTCTCATTTACCCAGTTTGACCTTGGTTAAATGGCTTTCTGATGTGTGAACTTCAGATAGGCTACTGACTTAAGTCTGGTGAACACTGATAAGAGCCATGAAAACACGAGAAAACTGTTTACATAGCCTTGATAATTTGTCTCCACATTACATATGTTGTGAGCTTTATATGTTATAAAAGGGTCTATGCTGTTTCCGAATGTCAATGGGAATATTTAGGCTACATGGTAAGTAAAATCAGATTAATTTAAAATGATCTTTTCTCGTTTTCTCATTCATTTTTGTTTTGCAGTTTTCCTCGACAAAATCTGTACAGGTCTGAACAACTAGAAAAAAATCTGATTACTCACATCTGTAATCAGATAATGCGTGAAATCTGTTTTTGCTGTTTTTGGAAGATGGCACTGTTGCTTTGGTCGAGTGTAGGCTGTAGAGTAACCATGGAGGACGGGGGTTTTATGTTTCATGTGTGGTGAGTAAATACTGAGTACTAAAACAAACTACTAGTTGTGGCGTTTTAAAGATGTTTCACTATAAACTAGAATTTTAAATCTTTTACAATCTAATGCATGTAAGGGAAGAGACTCAAGTGGCCCAGTGGACGCGACTGCTCAATTTGCTCTTTGTGATAGCGGCATCTAGTGGTTAAAGTAAGATTAACACTCAGAAGAAATGCAGAGACATCAAATTATGGCTTCAAACATGGATAAAATATTATTAATTCGAATGGCCTTATCGATAATCTGCGGCATCAACATTACCTGGGGGTGTGATGGTAACTATAGAGACTCTGTGTAACATTGTGTAACCTTTCCATCATATGCTTTTCTCCATGAAGATGTTTTTGCTTTGTCTGGAATATTTCACTGTATGGTATTCAACTTTTCTTCTTTGATGAAGGCTGTACCAGACTAAGTTACAGGTCCGATTTGTGGAGAAGCAACCCTGCTCACAGTCAGAATGCCTGTTTTTTGAGCAATAAAACCACCTGTAATTAAATAAATAAACACTACAGCTGTTTAATGTCAAACTATGGAACATTCCAGGCAGAGCAGTGACAAATCCATAGAGACAAACAGGTGAAGGACCCCCATCCAAAAAGTTACATGGTGCACCTTTAACACAATCTGGACAGAAAGACTTGACTTAGTTGGGACTACAGACAGGCAAGATTATTTGTACTGTTTATATTGATTACAGCCACAAGCTAGATAGAATTAGTTCAATTAGAAACTCTCATCTTTTTGTTGAAAATGAAATACCTAAACCATGAACACTCATATTGATCACAGGCTCCTGAAAATGTGTTGTTTAAATCCATTTTGGAGTTTTCAGACTATCTTAAATCTGTGTGGCTGTGTTTGCTGATGTGGGCATTGTATCACCATGGTAAATGATGCATATTCCACCATAAAGATACATGTAGAACACACCCCCACTGCAAAGTATCAATTAGCAGTAAATTCTTCATGATTCTAACTTTTTTACAGGCCAATACAAAGTACACGATTTTATTCTGTTGTTTGATAAAGAGAAAATACAACAACACTATTTAATTTTTGTAATGCTATGAAGTTCAGTATATAAATAGCCTAGATTTCTCAACAAATGAGAACTACATACATCAGCAGAGTCCTATGAACAAAGACAGATTTTTATCAAAGAAACCCACATACTGTTCCAAGTCATGTAACCTTCAAAGTGTTTACAGAGCTACTGATCTTGAGGGCGATAAAACTGGGGACATTTAGTTTTGAGAAACAGATGAGTAAACAGACCTCATTTAACGTAAAATCATCACTTTGACTGAAACAAATAATTTACCATAATCTAAAATTTTGGCTGTAGACAATAACAATGAGCGTGAACTGTCAGTTGAGAATCCTAAATCAAAACATGTTTGTCTGAGGTGACCACGTTGAATAAGTCAATATTCAATATACTGATGCAGAACCTTAAAAACATATATAAAGTTGTTAACTGAACCGAGGCGTGAACTTCCTGTGTTTACATTTTAGCTCTGAAGAGGAACAAGCCCTAGAAAGAACATTCACTGCTTTTTGCCTGTTTGAAACTTTTAACAATAAATGAAAGCTCAGCATGGGGTCAAAAGTAGCCTAATATATTATAATGACAAAAAACAAATATGGTTATTGGAGTATGGGTTATATTCATTTGCTAATCTTGAGAAGTTTTACCCTACAATTCCCTTTAACCTTTGAACAGGAAGAGGCAATATGCAGCCAAAACATTCACATTACAATATCTAAGAAAGGCACACAGATCGTACAGGGTAGTCTGTCTTATGTAAATCCTGTATATGGAACAGTTTTATACAGAAAAATAAAGTGGTAGTTCTCTTGGTGTAGTTCTCAGTAGTAGTTTTCTTCTGAACACTGTTTATGCAAATGAGTTTATTTCCAGTAATTCTTAGACATGAAAAAGTGACTATGCCTGAAACTCAGACTGAAACAGTAAACGGTATAATGCAAAATGAAAGGTTTGTTTTTAATGTAAATAAATTCTTTGACAGCAAATTAGAAGAGGCAAATCTTTAATATGTATACATTTTATTTCCGACTGATAGGATGATTCAGACTAGATTACACAGATTAAGGAAATAGAAATGATCAATATAAGCTATTTTTAATGATATTTCTTCAGTTCCTAGACCCACTGAGGTATTATAGAAGTCTCCACCCCTTCAGCGACTTTAAGTGCCTGGTGTGTTTCCTCTCATGTCACAGTGATAGGGTGAAGGAACATGTGTACAGTAAAGAGGTGCGGGTAGAAGCCACAGATACCTAAACAGCATCCAAAAGATATTAGAGTCTTATGCAGCATGGTGAACCGTGGATCACTGCGGAGTTTCACCCTTTTAAACTTCCTAACTTTGTTCATTGTAGGTATGTATACAATTTAAATACCTATAGATCTATGTATATTTGGGAACGAATTAGCGAAGAAATAGTCTGGAATCCATTTGTATTTAATGGTGCACTATGTAACTGTTCTGGTGTTCTGTTTTGTCACTCGCTTGGTTTCTTGAGTGCTTTGCCTGGGATGTTCTATTGGGGAAAAAGACTCCGTTTGTAGACACTGATAAATGTTGAAGCAAAGAGGCAGAGTTTATTTTTTGCAAGCAACATGTCCCCTCGACGTCAGACCCCTAATGATACAAGCACCAAGTTTATATAGGTTGAGATGACCAGAGGACATACATTTAAAAGTGAGAAGGTGACTCCTACTGAGGTGTAGCCAGATGTGTTCCTGTTGGCCTTTCTGAGCAGAATGTCACATGTGGAGTTAAAACAATAGGAAAGAAAGAGGCCTGAAAACCAACTGCTTGATTTGATTTGCATCCATATTCACCTGCCTTGGTCACTTCTGACAAAATTGCTTCCAGATAAGATTAGCAAGCAATAAGGAACAGAAGCATTTACATTTGAAACTAAATGAGTAGTTACAAGACCAAATGTGTTCCTAAAGGACAAAATAATTACACAATATTTTAATTTACTTTACAGTTCCACAGCATAGCATTAAACATATCTGTCTGGCATTTTATTGCAAAAAATAATAATAATACTCTGCGAGTAACTAACATCTCCCTGGAGACAAGTTGGCCTACATGATGGACCTCCAACAGAAAAGTTACTTAGTGCATCTTTGATGTATGTTTGCTATATTTTACCCATCTATGTCTGTATGTAGGCAACACTTGTATTTTCAGTTAAAGAAAAAAAAAATGTTGTTCTATTAATATACATGATTTACAGATAATTGATTTATTCTTGGGTTTGTTTCAGTAAATTGTAACACTTCCTGTCCAAATTATCATCACTGTGAGTTTCATCCAGGTAATGAAACTAACTCTGAACCATTGAATTAGTTGAGTCACAATACCTGAATGAATAACTGAGAAAACCTCCGCTGTTTTAGGTCACAAATTAGACTGTTTTAGTAGGTGGGGATCGCATAGTAAAAAGGAATGGAGATGTGAGCAGCAACCTGGAACTGGTACATCCAAAAAGACCTACACACTCATCATACAACAGGAGTACGTATAATATTGACTTGAATTGTGTGATCCCAGATCACACACAGGGATACCATAGATGGACTAAAGATACATGTTTTGTCTACTTATATGTGCAATGGTATGATAATATTGTTTTTTGTTTTTTTTTCTTATATTGTGTTTCTTATTCTGTCTTTTAAGAACTTACTGCACACGCCTTGGGCAAAATGAAAAAATTCAAATATTTGAAAATAAGAACATGACTGCCATGGCTGTAGAAAATCCAGAGTCACAAAACTGTACAAAGGTCATTTTCAAGGGAACACCAAAAAATCTATGTAAATTGAATATATTTATTATGTTTAATTGAAATATTTCCTTTAGGTTTATTCTGTGTCTGTAAACGCAACATTTGCTTTTCAGTTCGATGTGGTCCACCAGTGGTGGCTTCTTTTTATCGCCATTCTGGGATCCTTGATGTTAAAGTTGGCTGGCTAAAGCATGACAATAAATTAATTCAGGGTTACACAGTGAGATATAGACCAATGGGAGAATTGTCATGGGAAGTAAGGAATACCTACTGGTACAACAGATTAGTGTATAAGATGAAGAGTACTGTTATTTTATCATTGTCATTTCCACTTTTTAAAGATATCAGATGGAAAGGGCAGCAGAGAAATCAGATTAAATTCAAATTGGACTTATGTGGTGGAGATAAAGTGCATCAGCAACAGCAAATGCTCACAGTGCCCTTGGAGTGCACCATACATTATACCTCCAGGTTTGAGAATGTTCAAATAATGATGAGGATGGTATCACTTACTATTTTTTTACTTATGTTTTAATAATTGAACTTTGTGATGTTTCTTAGAACTGAAAATGCAGCCAATTCTCACTGGTCTTAAAGAAATGGAGCACCCAGTTGCAAAAGGCAGTTGTTTGGTCTCTCTCACTTGGAAGGTATTTAGTCTTAATGTTTCAAGTGAAGTTACTATTATTAGTAATTTATAATCTAACCAAAATCTATATTTGTCAGACTGTTGAAATAGAAAGGCCAGATGGGTATTTTGTAAGCATTCACAAAGCCTCTGGAGAGCCGCCAAGTGAGCATTTTAACACCACTGATACAGAGATAAGGCTTCATCTGTCCTGTTCAGTGTACACCGTTAATATTAGTGGCTTCAACAATGTTAGTGTCTCCCCAGCCCTCAGCCAAACAATAAAGAGTTGTGATAGTATACCACGTGAGTACATAATTTCTTACATAAACCTAAAACATATATGTGTACAATGTAACTTTTTTGGTCTGCCACCTGCTTCTTTGCAGAGATGTAATTTTTTCTTTGCCTTTCGCCTAAATGTTCCAGTATGTCACTATGCCATTATTATTTTTTGACAAAAGAGCTAACTAAACTTGAATAACCTGGATTCTTATTCTGAGTCGGGTGCATCTCCATAGACCTGTAACTTGGTCTGCTGACATTACCTGCTTGTTTCCATGGAGATCGAAAGCCATAACATTCCAGACAAAGCAATACATCTTCATGGAAACAAGCATAAATGTTACATAGTGTATCTTTAAATGACAACTTGACATACTTTGACTAACTATATTTTATTTTGATGTAGGTATGGACACTGAGAGATTAAATGTTACAGTTCATAGCAATATCTCTTTTACCGTGCATTGGGAGCCTCAACTCTTGAATAACTATGTCTGCTACTCTGTGGAGTGGAATCAGAAGAACCAACATAGAGCTGCATATTTATCATTTTTTGAGAACACATGGAGTAATTGGACACTTAATTTCACAGGTATGTGTAGAAAGTTGACAAAGTACAAATAATGTAAAGTAAATTAATGAAGATGTTTACAATGAGCAGAGCCATTGGAGCCTTACAAGAGGTACTCTCTGTCTCTACACACACGACCGAATAGAGAGACGTGCAACCTAAAACACATCAACAGCAGCGAGAGCACTTTTGGGAGCAAGTATTTCTATTATATGGAAGGATGTAAGTAATATGTTGAGCTACTAACAATACACTGATACCACTTTATAATAACTACATCTTAAGCATGAACAAATACTTTATTCATAATGAACAAAAGAATGAAGCTTTGCAGTTACTCAATGAAGGGGTTAGGACTGGAGTTATGGCATTGAGTAGTGACAAAGCCTCAATCATTCTTAGTAAACAATTTGTTCATTATGAATTCTGTGTTCATGCTTTATTAGGGCTATTAAATATGTAGTTATTAGTGTTACCAATAAGATTACTACATTATTCATTTATAATTTTCGACAGCACCCATCAGCGCCCCAACAAATATCAGCTGTTACAATGTGACATCCAGTTCAGTGGTGCTGCAGTGGTCACAGATCCCAGAAGAGGATCTAAGGGGCTTTCTACTGGGCTACAACATTTACTACAAAGAATACAACAACAGGAATACACGCACAGCAGAGAAAGGTGGGTTTTAATCTGTGCAATTTCTTTGATTTTAAACATGCTTACTTTTATACCTTACCAAACCTCTTTGTTGCAGTTGTGAGTGTAGATGCAGATTTGACCAGCTATGTAATTGAAGAACTGAAATCTGGCACGAGATACCAAGTTAATATTTCAGGTGTCACTCAGGCTGGAAAAGGAGTAAGAAGCATCACATGCTTCTTTAAAACATATAAACCAGGTTAGAGAAATAAATCCATAAATTGCATTGATATTGATCTATATCTATGTCTATATCTATAGCTATAGCCATCTCTCTCTCTCTCTCTCTTATATATTTTTTTTCACAACAGTTTATATGAAAGACAATGTAATTATAGTTGTCTTTGTTACTACAATTGTACTGCTGATTGTGGCATGTCCAGCATTAAAAAGGTAGGTCTACTTTAATACATTCTAAATGTGCAATTTCTTTCTACTGTATTAAGTATACAGTATATATCATTTGTAATGAATACTTTTAAAACTGTAGAAGTAAAGCAATCCTTTGGCCAAGCATACCAAACCCTGAGAACAGCAATGCTATACAAAAAATAGAGAAGTCTTGCGAGATTGTGAGTATCAAAAAATATTACTGAGCCTGGAAAGTATATGTAAAAATATACTTTTTTGTCTTAGGAACTTCTGGACTCACTTCAAACTTTGAAAGTGGAAGAGTGGCATACAAACAGCTTACAAATTATTGAAGAAAGTGCTCTCCGTGTTTCATTGCTAAATCTGTTTGCTGTCGAGACCAAAGAAGACTCTGGTTTGATGGCACCTGAGCAGATCCAAGAGGACCCAATCAAAGACATAATTTTGGATCAACCTGCTAACTTAGAAATGACTGGACTTCCAAATACTCAGACTGCCTTCACTTGTGGATATACTACTTTGGAAATTTTTCAGCAAACAGTGAAATTTCAGTGCAGCCCAACCAGTAGCCAAGAGGCCAGAGATGAATTGCATAACATGTCTGAAATCAAACCAGTCCTAGACTATGTTGGACAGTTCTGCTCGAGCCCGACTTTTGACTTGTGCACAAGACTATGAAAGAGACTGTGAAAATTTACTATGATTCACATTAATATTCATATTTTATCATTGTTTGGCTTAGACCTACATAAAACTACAAGTGATCTAGATGATATTTGATAATGACCTATGCTTTGTTTAACAGATAATGATTACTGGTGTCTTGAAAATTATATTAGCCATATTTTGTAATTTAAAATAGTTAAAATATTTATCTATTTAGTTCACACATCACAATAACATTATCAAAACATTTTTTGAGTTGTCATTTTTATTTGCATGTACAGACTAGTCTAGGACAGGTACTTAATGCATCTCTGTCCTGAACTGTAACTTTCTGTTGTCTTACTAAGAACAGTGTATTGTTATATTATATAGTCATAAAAATACTAACATTTTACACATTTGCTTAACGTATTTTATCTTACAGCACAAAAATAAGAAAAAGTCTAACTGAAATCAAAACCCACCCATAAAAAATAGCAACATACTTATACAGTTACCCTACATGACAACCTGTGAAAAAAAAATCACATGAAGATAGAGGCCTCAAACATGAAATGTTTACAGATTCTGTGATTCAAGCAATGTGACAAACAAAACATTACATAAAAACTACATTATAAATTGATATTCTTCAGTATTTAAGAAATCTACTGAATTTAGAATTTTCTCCCTGGAGTTGTTGTTGGAACTTCAGACTTAACGATATAAACTACAGTACAAATATATTTTTGCTAATAAAGTGCATTTATTTGCACTGTTTGTCGAACACAAAAATAATTCAAGAAAAACATAAATACTGACAAAAATTATAAGTCAGAGCTACGATTATAGCATAGGTTAAATATAATGTCAATTCCATTCCAAGGTTTAAAAAGCTCTTTGAGTTTTGTGCTTAATTGCCACACAAGTCCAGTTAAAAATAATAACTAAATTATGTAAATAAGTATTACCATAGTGACAGTCACACAGCCATAGACACGTGATTCCTGTAGCTGCCATTATGCTGGGTGAATGGGGACGATACTTCTTCACAAGGAGTAGACGAGTCTTCTCTGTCACTTACATACACTCTCTTTTCCTCCCGTTTGGATAATCTTTCCACCTGCAACATAACTTTCATCACTTAGCAACAATGAAACCATGTGATTAAACTTGATGCTAAAGTGAGCATCTGAAGCAAAGGACAAGGGCAAAAGTCATATTAGATGACCATTTCTGCGATCTGTCATCTTCAGTAATTATAGCAATTCAGAAGTCCAAAACGAAGGGCAAAATTCAGTGCAGAGCTGTTCCCTAACCCTCAACTATGACAAGAACAATTCACTGAAATAAAGCTAAGGGAGATTTCCATTTGGCATTGTACAGTGTTGTTCTGATGTGTTGGTAAGGCACCTTTATTGATTTTCTCTTGCTCTTTAGCGCGCCCGCATCCTTCCGGTTTCTTTTTGATGTAGAGTGGTCTTTTCTTTCTCTACTCCTTTCCCTTCTTTTTGCTTTCTTACTCCTGAAAGTGTCAGACAATTGAGAAAAATCAACAATAATGTGACACAATAAACACTGCGACAAACACTAATATTTTGAAATGTACTTTTTGAGTGGGGATGTTGGTTTTCGACGAGGGCTTTGTGACCGATCGTTGCTCCTCCTCTTCTGACCTCTGATCCCCCCCCCACCCAAAAAAAAAAGACATTATTTCAGGCCTGTGTATGGCCCAGCCACAGAAACCATGTGAAGCTGAAATGTGATATACATTATATTTGACAATGCTTTAAACACTTCTCATGCCACACACCTAGAACGACTGCGGCTGTGCTTACGGTCCCTGGAACGAGTATGCCTCTTGTGGCTGCCCCGAGAACTGTGAGATTCACTGGGCCACATTTTCTGTGATGATCTGCTCCAGACAAAAAAATGCAGTGAAATTATTATTCTACATGGGCCACTGACATAATATCAGGCATTTTTAGGTACTTGTAATGCACCTGTGTTTTGAGCGGGACCTTTTCTTTCGCAGACCAGAACGTGATCGTGAGCGACGTGAGCTTCTTGACCAACTAGAGGAGCTCTTTTTAATGTCTAATAGAGGGTACATTTTCTCTTTATGGTTAATCACACAGTCTTTCCATATTTGCCTTTCTACAAAACTGAAAAGCCTTACCTGGTTCAATAGCAGCTGCAATTGTGGACTGAGCTTCTCTCACCCTTCTCATAACATTCTCAAGTTCCTTTGCAGCAGCCTGGGGTGTCATTTCAGGGGGCTTTACAATAGCATTATTGGAATGATTAACCCTTAGCAGAAAATATAAACAATTAATGTATGGTGAAGTTGGCAGTCATAATGTATCTCCAAAAACATTATGACAGATATACTTTAATGGTCTGTCTCCAAACATGACTCCATTAAAAGTGAGGGCTCTGGCGACAGATTCTTGCTCTACAAACTCAACAAATGCAAAGCGGGTAGGCTGAGTCTCATCTCCAGCCATTCGTACAAACTTTACATCCCCCACCTGCTTGAAGAACTCTAGCAGCTGTTCAGCAGTAGTGGTCTGGATAAATTGGATAAATGGCAATAAGCAAGCAAGACAACTTAACATTAAAACTAACAGGCATGTCTGAGACGCTGGTTTAAAATGTACCACAGTCACATTCACCTGTGAATTTAAATTGCCAACGTATACAGTCCTCCGTATCTCATCAATTTTTGTAGGATCAACATTTCCCATCAGTGGTGGCTGGGATTGCATTGCTGCAATGTGCTCTACACCAGTTGAAATTCGATTCATAAATGGAAGATTCAACTGCAAGCATACAAAATAAAATGTACACAATTATGCTTCACATTTAGGATACTTCATAAAAAATAAATGTTTGTAGACAAACATTTTGAAGAGGAGCAGGAGTTGGAATTGGCAGCAGTCCTCCACCAGAAATCAGATTGGGAATGGGAGTGGTAGGAGCCAATAGTGACAAGGCCTTTGCCTCTTCTGGGATCTTTCCTGCAGATCAGAACATAGGGTAAGTAAATGTAATATAATCAGTTTTATTTCTTTGTCTCTTCAATTCCTCCACAATAAGCCCATTGACCTCTAGAGAGAAAGAAAGTGTAGCATACGTTCTGTCTACAAAGTAATAGCATTTATGTGGGACACATTTAAGCCCAAGCATCCTCATTTTCATTTTTTAAAAGATAAATAATTTTCTCCATTTGGTGTCTAACTGAATTAACTCAACATGATTTAAATTTGCAAACCAAAAATAATGTAAGTGTATTCTCTTTTCTAAATCAAGAAAGATGAAAGCAATGCAGAGAATGAGTTACTTTGATGTTTGGGTCACCTGTACTGGTAAGATATTGGTCATGAACCATACGATATCAAGCATGGACGCTTTCCCGTGGGGCGATCGTTTCGCAGTGTTGGAATGTTGTGCAACACAAGACAACCCCAATGGCTGCATCACTAATAGCACACAGAACATCAGATACAGAGAAGAACAACAAATTTAGGTAAGGTTATCCAAAACTGGAACTATTTCAAAACTATTTTCAAAAACATTTACGCTTCCTTTTTACTTAATTTGGAGTTACAATATTGTACAGTTCAATGCAACAATCGAAAAAGGTCAAGGCAGAAAAGAGTATTATTTATAAATTGATTGTATAAATGTGTCTCTATATGTTATAACAGTGACAGAAAGTGACAAAATTTTGAAATAATGACCCTGGAGTGGTTAGTAATCCTCATTATGTCCCGTGTGTGATATGCATTCCATTTTGCAGTAGCAACCAGGAGAGATCAACCATAAACAAGATGCAGCTGCAGTGGAGAGAGAGGGAGGGGGACAATAATAAAAACAACAAACTAAAATAACAGACTACACAATACTGTACTTTCTATATAGAGACAGTGGAGAGTGGACAGAATGGGAGAGTATGAAAAAATAATAACAAACCAAAATAAAATATAATAAACAGAGACAGGTGTCCATCTTGGAAGGCTCAGCGGGCTATTCTCCTGGTCACATTCCCCACTGAAGGCTTCGTTGGCCCGATCGGGGATAGTGGCTTGGAAAACAATGCCTGACTCAGGCTAGTGTAGTGTTACGGCTGGGCCAGTCTAGTCATCTGATATGCACACATAATCACAGAAACAAAACATACAAAACCAAATTAATAAACTCAGTAGCTATCTAGAACCAGATCACGTAGACAGAAAGCATGTATTCAAGTCCTGATATTATTTTGGGCTGTACACAGAGGGGCAAGAGTGTCAACATAAATGGTGAGGGATACTAAAAACAGAAAAAAAAAATGAAGGGGTACAATAATATTTACAAGGACAATATGTATCAATATTATCAGTGAATAAAACATGCATTTCAGCAAAGTTCTAAAGAAGGCTAGGCACAAGACCAACAATATATTTCTCAAAATGTCTTCATAATAAGTTGTGTTTAATGTTGTACTGAAAAATCATTATAACTTCACTTTTAAAAAAATGCAAAAGAAAGGGATGTCTGTGCTTTTTGTTGTTGCATGAATGTTTACTATAAAAATGAACTGACAGGTGTAACTCACCTTCGGCGCATGGCACCACAATCAAAGCCCTGTCAATAAAAACGGTGTTGGTGAGATGCTGCGCCACACCGACACTAGATGGATCTCGAAACTTTACATAGCACACTTTGGACGAGAAGGAGAGAGGAACATTGCTGTGAATAAAAGAACACAGATAAAATACCCGCTGGTATTATATTTTTATTTCAGAAAGGCCGAATATCCGCGGCTAAGCCTCGGCATCCTAGCCCGGGGTTGTTCTTACTCTGGTGGGTAAAGACGTAGCTCATCGATGTGCCCCAGAAATCCAAACAAAGTGCGCATTTGTTCGCTACTCACGGCCGAAGACAGATTAGTAACCTGCACCACTGCTGTACCGGGAATTCCGCTCATCATTTTGGAAGTCGTGCACAGCCCTTTATCGGGTGGGATTCTTTTATTTGGTTAATTAATACTCCGCTTCAGGGCTTCAGCCAACAGACCGCAGCAGACTTATTCTTTTACATTTAAAAATAGGTGAAAATTTACATCAAAGCTCAATACAACCCTCTATTGCTATACCTTTGTTACTACAAGATCCAAATCTTGACTAGACCCAGGGAGGAACCAAACCCAAAACAAACGGACTGAAATCTTGGGTGCACCCGCGCATGCGCAGTATTTTTTAGAAGAAAAACAGCGAACACCGACCATGGATCTATTATAGTTCAATGACACCGACATGGGAAAATAAACACTGAATATGTAAACAGATCATTTCGAGTAAGTTGGTTTTGTTATTTCAAATTAAATAGTGATTGTGTAAAATGCATTGTGACAATTACATAAGCTTCTTTTACCTTTTTACCTAATTATGCATCTCGCTAAACGCTGATATTGATGAATAGCCGTAAACGTGTAACCCCGTCATTTTTGTACCTCTCTCTAGACTCCATTTTCAGCGCAATAAATGGTCGGGTGATGGACAACGTTGCAATGTCAACCCCTCGTGGAAACTCAATTGCAACGGAAGAAATGGAGGGTATCTGTGTAATGCCAGACCTTGGTGCTATTAAGACGGAGGACCCTGGTGTTAACGAGGAGGGAGGCGGTCAAAATGTGGCCATGGGGATCAAATTCATCTTGCCCAATAGGTTTGATATGAATGTGTGCTCGAGATTTGTAAAGTCGTTAAACGAGGAAGACAGCAAAAACATTCAGGATCAAGTAAACTCTGATCTGGAGGTGGCATCTGTTTTATTCAAAGGTAATGTAAAATGCCACAATAAATCAAGTATCTCACACTAAATAATCTTTGGCTTGCGTATATTGCGATCAAGTACCACAGTAATCGTTTGTTTGTTTTCTGAAAGCCGAGTGCAATATCCAGACCTCACCATCTCCTGGAATACAAGTTCGTCATGTTTACACCCCGTCCACTACCAAACATTTTTCTCCCATTAAACAGTCAACCACTCTCACCAACAAGCACCGCGGGAACGAGGTGTCTTCCACACCCCTTCTTGTGCATTGTAAGACTTGTCAATTGTTGTCCATATGCATCAATAGGTAATGTTTTTAATGGCGATTTGTGTCTGTTAGCATTATCCATTCATCAGCTGGCAGCCCAAGGGGAAATGGTGTACTTGGCTAGTAGAATTGAACAAGGTAAGATTTTCACCCTGAAAAAACATGGTCCAATTTCCATAACCAAAAAACAAACAAAAAAGTAATTCCTCACTTGTTCAACAGAAAATGTAATTAATCTTCAAGATGAGGAAGGCTTCACCCCCTTAATGTGGGCAGCTGCCCATGGACAGATTGCTGTGGTTGAATTTCTGCTTCAAAATGTATACAAAAATATTGACATCTTTGCGCCAAGAACCTGTGCATCAAATACGTAACTTTTGTCCACATATTTTATTATTATTATTTTTTTTGGCATTAGGGAGCGGACCCCAACCTTCTAGCCAAAGGAAGAGAAAGTGCTTTGTCTTTGGCCTGCAGTAAAGGATACACAGATATTGTGAAGATGCTCATTGACTGTGGGGTTGATGTCAATGAATATGACTGGGTAAGCATTTTGCGAAAGATAACTTTTTACTCTTCTAAATATTAACTCAAGTGTGTTCATTTAGAATGGAGGAGCCCCTCTCCTGTATGCAGTTCATGGAAACCATGTTCGTTGTGTGGAAATCCTTCTAGGTAAAGGGGATGTGATGAGTCATACCAATTAAAAAGTGACAGTCCTTCAACTCATGTATTGTGTCTGTTGTATCCTACAGAGAGTGGGGCTGATCCTACCATTGAGTCTGATGCTGGCTTCAATGCAATGGATATGGCAGTGGCCATGGGCCATCGTAATGGTATGAAGCATTGAATTATGATATTTAAACCAATTACAACACTTTCTAAATAAGTCTTTATCACTTTGTAGTTCAACAGGCAATGGAAGCTCATTTACTAAAGCTACTAATGGGAATCAGAGAATGAAGAACCATCTGAGAATGCAATCATGTAGCTAAACTCATTTTTACACTTCTTTTTGGAGTGTTCTTATAACTGAAAGTGTTGGTAACTTTTCTATTTTGTATTTCAGATTAGAGAAAAGAAAAATGCATGTTGTGTTTACTGTCATTTTATCTATTTAACTTATTTCAATCAATGTTTGCAGTTATGATAAAATATACCTGTGCCGTTTTCATATCTGCTTGTGCTTGTATTCTTACCAAAGTGTTTGGATTTCAAATTGACCCAAAATTTCCATCTCCTTCAGTTAAAGCAGCTATTGAATAAAATTCTGTATCTAATAAATGGCAGAACCTTGGCAGACAGTAGCAAAGGTTTATTTCCAGATAATGGTTGGACCGAGGCCACAAAAAAAAGGTTCAGTAACAGGGATCAGATTTACAATGGAGCATGTTACCACATAAGAGCACAATATTACAGGACACTCAATAGCACCATGCATGCTTTAAATCTTGTGATACAAAAGTGGGTACTGAAACATTCCATTCAGGGTTAAACTGCAGTTTTAACCAAGTCCAAGTAATTTGTAAGAGTGGTACACAATATGAACAGGTTAATACAACCTACATCCACCTTGAGATAGCTTGTGCCCCATACGGTCATGTCTGGTTTCCAAAGAATTGTGTTGCCTCTAGTTAGCCTCATTCTTTGATGCTTCATCAAAATTCTCCACCAAGTCTGAAATTGGAACAGTGGAAAAGGGTTATGTAGGCAATATGGCCATGCATCGTAAGTGTAATGGAAAAACAAAGCAAAAAAAAAAATCACAGGGTAAGAGTGCACTTTGGAATACTAACAAATCAATATTATATAGTACAGTTACACATTTTGCAAGGCCTCTCCATGGCCAACCAACCAATTTGTGATCAAATAACATGTATATAAAATGACAGATGCATAGACTACAAAACATTAGCCATTTTTGCATGTCCCAGCCTGAAATCTTTGGGAATCCCAATACATCAAACTTATGCAACATATTCCCACATTATGTGTCTTCAGTGTGTCTCTTGAATTTAGTTGTTAGACCAGTCTTGTTTTCATTTGTTCTAAAAATGTTTTTTTTGTCTCTTCCAAGTCAGTCAGGGTGTTCTTTGACCAATGTAAAACACATTTTTTCCTAGTTCAGCAAGGTTTCAAATTGACCACCACACAGCAATCATTTTGAACTCACCCTTTCAGTTAAGAAATAGCTGCATGCTGATATAGTCTGCATGATTGAGATTATGTATAAAATCAAACATTTAGGGGGAAGGGGGGAGAGAAAAAAATAAATAAAATCGCTGCTCTAGTTGGTTTTCAGCAGGCAAAACATTGAAAAGACAGGAAAGCCAAAGAATATGGTCAATAACATTTGTGGAACACCCCCTTAACTGCTGGGTCACTTCTAGTTAGTATTACAAAAACATCGTCACCTGGTGTGATAAATTTGTCCATTTGATTTGGACAGCATCTTTAAATCTCTACTGAAAATGCCCATGCAAGAATGGCCCACATATTATAATTTAGGGAATCTTAAATCATCCTATTGACTGAATCTGTGATTACAAAAACTGGTGCCAATGTATTGGCTGATATGGTGACATTCCCTGCATTGCTGCTCCTTAAATGAATCACATGTTTTAGCACAACGGAGTCATAGTCACCTACTCATATTAAAACCATATTTGTGATTTAGAGCAGATAACTACAAATAGGAGACACTCAACACACACAAAGTTAAGCTTTTACTCTCGCAGGCCCTGTGTGCATAAGCTAGACATATACATAAAAATACTCCTTTTTGTTGAAAGTTGTTGATTTAATTAGTCAAACAATTCTTAAACTCACCTGGAACATCATCATCCTCCTCTTCTACTGCTGCGATTGGCGCTTTACCATCTCCAGCTACAAAACAGAACACAAAACAATTCGGTCTAAATGTATTCAGTCAGGTCTCTTGAGGCTATAGAGGTAAATGTACAAACCCTGTTTGGGCAGAGCCTCTGCCAGTCTCCTGAGACTTGTCAGACTGTCTGCTCCCAGCTGGTTGAGAATACCAGGCAGCATCTCTGTCAGCTGTTTGGTCTCAGCATGCCCAGTGATAGTGAAGGTGTTGGCAGCAAGTGAGGCCTGTACTTTGGGGTTATTGAAGTGGATTACTGTTCCTTGATTTGTGAACATATTAACCTGTTAAAACACATTCATTCATATATAATCATGAAACACAATAGATCATTTCCCACAAAGCACCTAAAATTAAATGTATTTCCTTACCTCTTCAATACCAGAAATGTTGTTTACTCCAAGTTTTTTAAGAGAAAACTGGAGCTTCTTGTCATCTGCTGTTGCTGTTCTGTGTACAACCTTCTTCTTTCTGCGAGCACTACCCTAAACATGACATGAGACATGAACACAAACCTCTAAATGGGTGCCATGCATGCATTTTGGATTAACGCAAGCGTCTTACCTTTCCGCCAATACGGACTTGTGCCTGTAGTTTAGCAAGTTTTTCTTGATTCATAACTGCTTCTTTCATCTATAGGAACAAGTTAATCAACGTTTTCAAATTAAGTTATGCATACATTCCCCTGCGGGCACACATTTATAAAAGCAGTATGTTTTGTACGAAAAACTTAATTAGAGTTGTAATTTGGTGGTGATGATGATGATGCGATTAGGTTATTACAATAATGAAGTGCACAATTAAGAAAATCGTTCATCTTCCACAGTACTATGCAATGTTTAAAGAAAGACGTAAGGGCCGGATCTTGCTGATCGCTAATAAGGCAGAGATTTGAACATGTTTAAACAAACTTTGCCCCAAATCATGCAGACTCGACGTGTGGTAGCCTCAATATAACTTTAAGCTACAATTAGCTTTTCAGCTAACAGAGACCGGAGCGCACGGCCTGTCACTATTCGGCACGTCTACCAAAAACCACTCCAGTGACACTTCCAAACCACGCAGACCTCGATGACTGGCTAGAATACACTTTCGTTTACCTCTTGGTGTCGACCAGGACAAAACTGTGCTGGGAAGAAGATGTTTAAAGCTCCTAACTGACCTGTAAACTAACAGAAGACACATGCGGGGAGCAAGATGGAAGCGAGAGAGGAAGCAGGAAGTGACATCAGGCACAAATCCATTGTGCGCCACCGTTTTAGTGCCCTGGGTAGGTTTTCCCACACGTACATGGAGTTATTAAAATAACACAGGTGTTATTGCTTTGATTGAAGCACTCAAGAGAGTACAAACAGGTGGCGGTCCCTCCACCAAAAAGTTAGACTACACCTAGACAAGACAATTAAAATAATAAACCACATAATAATCCGCATTAAGCATCAATATGGATTAACAGTAATGTGTTTTTCATTGCAACCCTGAATGGATGATGGTATTTGGTTCTATGCCACCTGGTGGACAAGAATGGCAATTGATTAGCCTGTCATTTGAAACTGTAAAATTCACAAACATACCTATTTGTCTCCCCAATGCGAGGTAAACACATCCAAACCAAACATGGCATTTGCTGGTAATAAGTGTAATGCTGATTCATGGTCAAGTTTATGGTATAATGTGGTGTTTAGATTCTCTAAATAATCATCCAACCAGTCAGAGCGCAGGCTACATACAGTTAAAATTTAAGTGATAGCTTATCGAAAATCTGAATTGTGCCTTCTTGAAAAAAATTGAAAAAATTAATCTACTTGCACTGAAAGTTTTGCACTGTTGTTCTTCCCATTCTGTGAACCTTGTATATACTCACTGATTCTATTATTTCTCAATTTTTAATTATTTTTATTTTTATTATTATTTATGTTGGACCATAACAACGAGTTCGTAGTTAGTAAATTCTTTCACTGACAATGGCAATAAAACCTATTCTGATTAAGTAGTGAGGTAGTCCTTTAAACCAACAACATTTTAGCATTGAAACAATTGTAGCAATCCATGTGAGACTCATGGGGCTCATTCTGTTTTTGATTAAATAACTGTATTGTGAACTAAAACACCAAATAAATGGGCCATCATGTCCAATATTTTTGTAATGAACAATTCTAATGCTGATTTATTCTTATGAGTAAAAACTATATTTGATTTAAACATGTTTGCCTTGTATCTTAGGCTTAATAATAATAATTAATTTTTTTTTTATAAGAATGAAGTAAGCAGAATAATTATAAATGGTCGTGTCTATTTGGTGTATTGACATAAATTAAATATAAAACATGTTGCATTTAATTTATTCATTACTGCCCAAATTAAATACTAGTAGTTTACAACCACTTTTTCCATGTGTATACCACAACTGCCCTCTGTTACACAATCTTACCACTAGATGGAGAAGTCGTCAAATAAGCCATAGGCCACAAAGTCTGACCTGAAAATTTGAATTTATGTGGCCTATCCATTTATTTATTTATCTTTCGAATTAAACATCACTCCCCACAGAAATAAGATAGTTCTGGACCAAGACGATAAGATTCCACTTTGCGTGACCCACTAGTGCTTCTAGTTAACAGCTGACTCTTTTTCATTAGAAATGGCTGGCGAATAATCCCAACCACTATGCCAATACAACATCACGCAAACTGATTTACGATTTGCGAGGCTACAGCCAGACAGAGGCGGCAGTGCGGCATAGAGACTCTGCATTTCACGACTTTTCTTAAAACTTTTACACAGAGCACATTTTCACATTTTGACGCATGTCAAAAAAAAATTGCTGGCCAATTCCTATTTTGTGTGGCGTTTGACACAATTAACCAACCAAAAATATGTCTACACACGATACTGTGAATAAACTTGTTATTCGACCTCGTCACGTGATCATGTCGCAGAAAAAGCCCGCCCCTTTTGTGTTCAGGTTTGGCCTTTTCGCAGGTTTTCCAGTTCATTTGCGAGACTGGCATCACCAGAAGCGCTCGTGGGGCCACAGGCGTATGGATAGAGCACGAGGAGCTCTCCCTCCTCAGAGAAGTGGTTGAAGAGGAAGGACATTTGGCTGAGGGCACAGACTGAGCCATGACTCTGAGTTCAGAGATGTCCGATGCGTCCATCCTCTCAGAAGAGACCGATATAGATGTAGTGGGAGAGGGAGAAGACGTCGACTGTCACACGCGTGCGTATGTGGATGAAGTGGCGCAGATGCACGAGGGAATCCTCCTGGCCGGTTCTCCTCCTCCGTGTCTGGACAGCCCCACTTCCTCACGGGACAGCTACAAACCAACGGGCAAGAATACCCTCGTGAAACCTCCCTACTCCTACATCGCACTGATCACTATGGCCATCCTTCAGAGCCCCAAAAAGAGGCTGACACTCAGCGAAATATGTGACTTCATCAGCAACCGCTTTCCGTACTACCGCGAAAAGTTCCCCGCATGGCAAAACTCCATTCGCCACAACCTGTCACTAAACGACTGCTTTGTCAAGATTCCCCGGGAGCCAGGGAACCCGGGCAAGGGAAACTACTGGACGCTGGACCCAGAGTCTGCCGACATGTTTGACAACGGGAGCTTTCTCCGGCGAAGAAAGCGCTTCAAGCGGCAGCAGGCACAAGAACTGTTGCGGGACCACAACACCTTAATTCCAGGGGCGGCGTACGGATACTCACCATACGGCTGTGGGGGCTACGGCCTATCACTGCCGCCCTACCACACACACTCCGCGCTTCTCGCCTTCCAGCAACAACAGCACACTGGGACCGTGATCCCCGCGCCGTCTCTTATGCCCACAACCACGGACTTAACTCGGAGCAGGTTTTACCCTCAGCTCAGCCACGGTCTAGCCTCCGTGCGTAAGGCCAGCTCACCGGCACAGCGCTCACCGTTTTCCATAGAGAGCATCATTGGCGGCTCTCTTAGCCCTTCAAGGACTCCTCCGGTCGTGCTCCCGGTACTGCCTCCCTCTTTGGGACGCCCAGTCTCAAGTCAGCCGCAGAGCGCGCCCCCCGGGACAGACTATTGCAGACCTGTGAGCGGCACCGGCTGCTAAATTTTACAGTAACTTTCCCTGTTGCTAAACATGAACAGCGAGACAAAACTAAAATCCCTTCGAAGGTAGGAATATTTTTGTATGTTCATAGCCAACATAAATGATGGATAAAGTAGCCTACAGGTTTGTGCCTACTACATTCACAGGATAGGCCTATTTATGATGAACTGTTGTCAATCGACCTTTAAACAAAAAATTGTAATTTTCATGTGATTTTCTTTGGCCACTATTTAGGGCGTCTCAGGATAACAACATGTTAAAATGATCACATGTATAAATAGCCTAGGCGTCTTCTGTATTTGTGTCAAACACAACGATGTTTTATTACTTTTGCAAATGAAGACATTTTTAAGCTTTTAATTTCAAGTTTGTATTTGGGGTGCAGAGAACTATAGCCCCGCATTTATACAATGCAGTGTTTGTTTTTCAGTAATAAAATATTGAAGAATGATTTGCAAATATTGTGTAATTTACGTGTGCCATTTTTAACACATAATATAGCCTACAACAAAATGCTCCAAGATATCAGTTAGAAATTATCAAAGAGAAAATCATAGGCATAGTATTTGATGATTCAAAAACTTCCAGGTATTTATTTGAACGAAGCGGTCTATCTTTGAACTGTTACTGCTGCATTGCATAATGTACAGTTGATGGACCAGTGTGTTAGGGAGACTTTACGCACAAGTTCTAGTAGCTTGCATCACCAACGCAGTGTTTTTTCTCAGCTCTCAAGAAAACACCCCGAGTTCCTGTAATTCACTGGTTTTCTGATTGTATCTATATTATTGTTGTGTTTTTATTTGGCATGAATTTCACTCTCCAAATGGGAAGAGTAAGCCTAAACTAAAGAAGCCTAAACTAAACGTAGGCAACTGGCTAATAATGCTGATTCTATGAGAAAAGCTACATTTGCAAAATAACAAATGGGGACCTGTGCAAGGCCTATCCGCCTGCTGTTATGACAGACTTGGTCATTTGAAAATTGGATAGACTGTATATAGCCCACTACTGCTTCCGTGACTGAATATGTGCGCCCATTTACTGCGTGCATCAACTGATTCAGAGCAACACGCGCGTGTAGTAACAGCTAAGTAGTGTTGTGCACAGAAACAGTTCACTAGGCCACGAGAGGACATCTATTGCGTGATGATGTAACACGCAACAAGGGAGGAAGGCACAAAGTGGAGGGACAGTAGAACAAAACCTACTGACTTTTGTTGACATAAATAAACACCAAAGGTATGCCTTATAAAGTATAACAAAACGGTAAGAATAATAGAATAATTTAGATTTATTTTGTTGTAAGGCATGAGAAAAAAACCCCCCAAAAAAACACTTAATTGAAGCATGCGCTTTATTGACGCTTACGCGCCTAAAGTGTTAAAAATAAAGGCCTGCATAAAAGTAGCGCCTACCGTGTATTCATAAATTAACTGAAAATTATTTGGCTTGCAAAGTGTACAGTTATTTGTTTTATTTAAAACTGTTAATAATAATAATAATAATGATATTATTATTATTATTATTATTATTATTATTATTATTATTATTATTAATAATAATAATAATAATAATATATATATTATTATTACAAAAGCTCAGTTTATCCTACTGGGGCAGGTGATGGAGCACAACACTACATACGTACAAGACTGGTGAGGCCTTGTCATGTTTGGACTATATTTACTATAATCAGTCAAATATTATAATAATAATTTATATTAAAAAGGACAATATAAAATATAAAATAATATGTTTACTTACTAAAATTCAAATATTAAATAATCCAAATAAAAATTTCAATTTTCAAAAATGTCAAATTTTAGCATTCATAAAAGTGACGTGTGTAGTTTTGAAAAAAATAAAAATAAAAAAATAAATAAAGAGGGATGTGTCTGGTATAGAAATAATATAATAATAAAAATATAAAGAGTGAATATCTCCCAGGAGGAACCTCTCTATCTTGCATTAGTAGATAAACACTTGTTACATTTAGACCGTCCCTTTAAAAGGAGCTCCACTTTCCACCCCATTAAAAAAGTTTTGGAAATAACACTACTCTGAATTTTGGACTAATTAGATGCTGCACAGGAGCATAAGGACCCATTGCACTGGGTGGACTTAAGCTTTTGTTGGGGCCATTTACTTACTCTTTTTCTGAGCCTTACCATTCTTCTTTTTCTCTTTCTTCTCATAATAATTCAGAGGTGGAGGTGCACAAGAGTATGTGAAGTCTTGTTACAGTATCAGATGAGATGCATTGAGTGAGTTGGACTGGTCTTAAAAGACTCCTCCACACTCCAAGCCAGCCTCAGGGAAACAAAAAGCTTTATCACTTCATGAGGTGTGAGCATAATCCATCTTTGCACATAATTTATTTAGCCCAAGACTTTGTGGGTGTTGTTATTTGTTCTACATCTTGCCTGTCTCACCTCAGTATGAACTTACAGACCAAGGATCTGCTGCAGAATTATGTTGCTGTCTCTCTCTGCATTTTTCACTTTTTTTAGCCTTCATGTGTTTGCTTTGGCATACTATCAGCTCATACAAACAACTGGGGTTGTTCTTATCCATCACGCTTGTGCAGAATGTGATGATAAAATAACAGACAGCTTGAAACAAACCATTTGTTAGAGAAGAATTTATTATTGCGTCAATTTGAACAAAGTACAGAGGTTACTTACACATCTCCTACTTAGGTTACAACAATAAATACCACCAAAGATTGGCTATGTGCAGCCATGGAAAGTAGTCTGAAATTTCTACAGTCCTGCTCAGAGATGTATGGTCCAGCAGCTGTGTGATGTCACCACAACATCTGATGACTGCCTGCATCCTACACATCATCAAACATAATCACATTACAGTGGGAATGTTCTGCCAGAGAAATCCAGCCTGTGACTACCTGCTTTGGACCTGATTAGTTACATGCAATAACGCCTTTTGGTCATAAACACTTCATCGAGCTTCTGCAGCCCGTTCATCATAATGACACCAGAAGGTAATCCACACCAGTGGCAAAGGCTGACAAAAGGCAGGAGCCAAACATTTCCTTTGCTCACCATAAACACAGGCTACCACTGCCCCTACAACAAACCAGTGACTTCAGAGGCCTGGACCAAAAATAAAGTAGTTGCGACAATGCTGTGGTAGACTCAGAAAATCCAAGTCTGCATCCTTTGCATTATGTCATCATTTCCACAATGACGATGCTTTTGTCAGCACTGGAAGCCACCCGTGCAGGACCATTCACTCACTCAGTAAAATATACCCCCCCTCCCCTCTCTACACCCATTCATTCCCTCCTGTTTGTATATTTTTTTCCTCTGTCCTCCCCTCTCTGCAGCTATCCGGCTCATTGACACAACCACAAAGTGTCTATGACTGAATTCTCTACCATCTGATTTGTGGTTTGGAGACACCTCTAATTTTTTGTCCTTGTTTCTTCACAGGCCCTTGAATAAAAACAAATCTGACTCAAGACACACATCAATATTTGACAGACAATCTCCTCTCATCCCCTCACATCAACATACCACAATTGCATCCAGATACTATATCAAATAAAATGTGAAAAACACTCATAAAAGACAATACCATAACCTTCTGCCACATATTAATGAGACATGCTCACTTTACTGAGTTTTTTCATGACTCTGTTGCAGATCTGAAAAGGCTATACTGCTAATATTTCCTTGGTTAGAAATATACAACAATTTTTTTCTGTGAGAATGATTGATTTAATTTGAGTAGATGCATCCTCTGGAGCTGGTATAGAAACCTCCTGTTTCCTGCCACATCTTGAGAGGCCCAATCACAGTGTGCACTGAATAGGGGGTGTCCAGTGAGCCCTTCAGGGTGGCCAGGTCTTTTCATTTGGTGTGGATCTCGGCTGGTTCCGTTACGTGTTTTCACTGACAGGTAACAGAATCCATATTCAGCACACACTGGGGGGCTGCAGGCCTGTTGAAATTAATCCTAGCTCTAACACAGGTTAAATTTACCAGTTCAACTTAAATGCTGTTGTGAAACTAAACATACATTGGCGAGTGGTCTAAAAGCTGTACTTCTCTTTTTAAATGAATGGTACCGGTTCACAGAGTGGTAAAGTGTCCATTTTACATGTTTACTGAACATTATAACCGGAACATGGAACAGTTGAATGAGATATTACTCTTTTTATTGGTAATGCTAAAAGTGCCACACTTATGCTTCCATTTTGCCCTCTTGTACATAGCAGAGCTCTGAAAGTGGCTTTTACACACCCACAGAGGTTCAGAGCATGTGAACACCAACACTAATTACCACAATGACAGAGCGCTAATTCAGTGCCTTCTTTGTGGGTGCAGACTTTGGTTCAAGTCCATTGGCTCTGTATCACCCTTTGTTTGTGAATCTGCAGTCCTTGTTAACAAAAGTATACCATGCTGTATATTAAATTCTCATTGTGCAATCTTATGAGGAGGTCATTTTCACAAAAACCTACATCTGGTTCATTGGAGGGTTCTGCAGTCTTCATCCTGGTTCTCTACAGTCAGATCTGTCCCAGCCACAGGTCCACAAGTGCCACCGGTCCAACTTCAGCACATGTGCCACACATATTGGAGTCACAGAACTGGTATAAACAAATCGTATTTAGATGCCACAAAACAAAAAGCTCTGCATCTGACAAACACCTGTGCAGCCCTTGATGTACAGACTATAGTCGCAGACTATAAACTGAAAGCTTTAAAGTATATATTTACTCCACAAGTTCTTTTTTATAAACATGCTTTATGTGCAGCTGTTCACCACTGTTTAAATTCTGTGAAAAGGTTATTTATTAATAATCATTATTTCAGGCTGGATTATAAAAAAATAGGGTTGTGATGAAATAACATTTCAACTTGTTATATTTTGAATGAAATATATTATTTGAACTAATCCATTGAGGAAATTGTGAATATTTAACATGAGTTAGCCTAAAATAATATGGACTTTAGACTTTAAACTTTACGTGGCCTGCTACAATCAATCTTTGCCAGAATATAGCCTAATCTCTTTGCCTGTCTAAAACAACACTCAGTAGCTGGTGAGGCATAGCTCTTTACTCTGTGGGGAAGTATTGCTCTTGTGGGAGTAGGAAAAATCCTCTCGTCTTTGGCAGTGACCTCTCATCATTGGGAGGGGTTCAACTAGTGACCCCTGTATTCCTGCGTGTCCAGCCTAAATGTGCACCTTTCATGAGTATGTGTTTATGTTAGTGATGCTCCACAGGGATAAATTGGTATCCACACATTTTATGGGCCTATAGAGGACAGCACAAGAGAAGGAGACAGTAACATCTGTGATTAGCTCTGCATTGTTTGATTTTCCTGGTGCCCTGTTTAAAATGACACCTGACTCACCTG